AGCAGTGCTTCGTAGAATCTACCACCGGATCGGAAACGTGACCCACTGAGAAGATCCGGCGAGAAACTCAATGGGATGTGTCTATGGGTTAATTTACTCGTTGAGCCCTTCGTCGCAAGCGACGGGTTCGACGAGGACGGTGACCGGTGCTTGAGGTACCTAAAAGCAACGTAATGGATCGGGAGGATCCGTAATGACGTGTTTAGGGCAAGCGAAATATCGAAACTTCATTAATTACAGATTGACAGTAGATTTGTATCGAAGTTAAATTAAAATTAATGTAAGATAACCTTGAACTCTTCAAGCAACTCTCAGATACCTTTTTTTATTGCTTAGATGTTGGGACGAGCTCACGGCCCACCTAATGTTTAGGAACCTGGAGCCCATAGACATCTACAATGTAAATGCCGCTACCCACCTTGAGGCAAGAGCTCTAAGGTCTCAGTTTTAACAGTACAACGGCTGCCCCACCCTTCAAACCAAAACGTATTACTGCTTCAATGTAGAAATAGGCAGGGTGATGATACTTACCCGTACGGACTCACAAGACGTCCTACCACCAGTAAATATTTCCCATCACCTTTCTAAGCATTCAGTTCGCTTCTAACCCACCTAATTACTGTCTATGCAGTGGACGCACGGTGTGCAACAAGCCTTTGCTGGTGGATGCCATCATTTAGCATAGTTTAGTTTGAAGAGTAGAGTAGACAAGCAAGTTCAATTTGAAACTTCAAACTTAATTGCGTGTAAATTCAACACTAACCAGTGCGTTTTCAGAGACCTTTTTTGCCACGTACCAACCGGCTTTGGAATGAGCTTTCCGCCACGGTGTTTCCCGAGCGTTATGACATATCCTTCTTCAAACGAGGCTTGTGGAGAGCATTAAGCGGTAGGCAGCGGCTTGGCTCTGCCCCTGTCATTGCTGAAGACCGTTGGCGACGTTAACCACTCACCATCAGGTGGGCTGTATACTCGTCTGATTACAAGGGCAACAAAAAATAAAATAATTGTTAGTGTCAATTTGAGGTGAACTTTTTACTTAAAAAAAATTGTGAAGCGACCCTTAAAGTCACGCGAATGACAAACGTTACATTGACTGTGTCCATAAGTTTTACGAACCTAAAATAATTAAACTACGATGGTAATCTAGACGTGGCATCGAGCCAAGTGAAACGAATTTTTAACTGTACCGAAAATTGAACAGTATATTTCTACATTTATAACATTATGTTCTTGAGGTTTACGGAACGAACCACAAAGTAGCACTTTTGCCAAATGTTTGTTAGTATAAATTTTACTGCAATAAGCCACAAGAAGCCTGGTATAGCTCTGTTTATTCACTGGAAATCTAATTTAGTGAGCAATAAGGGTTAGGAAAACACCTGTACTTCTTAGCTGTCTAATAGTTTTGTCTAGACGTAAGAATAATAAAATGATGTGGTTATTTATATTTCAAGAGGAATTGCAGCTACCTGCGGTTTTGCGGAATCTATTTTAAATCTCTATATGTATATTAACAGCTTAAATAGATTTTGTCAATTTTTCTGTGCATTTGCGCGTTTCAGAATGACTCAACCAATTTAAGAGTAGTTTTCAGTGATGATTGAACTTGAGTTATCCTTTGGTGTGTAGTCTTCTTAAGTCGGTAGACAAATTAAAATAATTTCTTGTTAGGTTATTATACTGTATGGAAATACTATTTACATTAAAATTTATTTATTATATTTGCACAAACCAAAAGGCGAGTTATTTGAATGATGAATTTGATGGAAAGTTGTTTAAAACTTTTAAATGTTTTCGTACGATTCGTTTTTTTCATTGCAAGTGTACTGTACTGTACTGTAAACGGATCCTGACCAACCTGGTTGGTGTTAGAAGATTCTCGAAACACGATTTTTTCGGGCTGGATCCGAACCTGGTACGAGGTGTCTCCTCGTATCAGCCTAGCGCGCCTAGGAGGCGCTCGGGTCATTTGGGACTTGACGATCTGCAGATATTGTAATCTGACCGCTGACCAAGGATGTTTTAGGGCTCTATCTAAACGACTTCTCTTACACCCTCGTCGCAGTCCGATCTCCGTCCGAATTTAGAATCATCGTGTATTGCTCATCATGTATTGCGTCTGAAAGGTATAATATTTTGTTCCGTGATCACGAGTCGTTGATACAGTTAACACAGGTCCGCCTCGCTCCACTCAGCCCGCGGTCTGCTCCCAACATTTGCAGATCATCAAGTCCCACATACTCCGGGCGCCCCCTAGGCGTGGGGACCTCGTTGGAGGTTCGGCCCTCGGCCCCAAAAAAAAAAGTCCCCATGGATCGTGATTTCACAACTGACAACGCCCTCCACACCACCAGACACATAAACANGTTGATACAGTTAACACAGGTCCGCCTCGCTCCACTCAGCCCGCGGTCTGCTCCCAACATTTGCAGATCATCAAGTCCCACATACTCCGGGCGCCCCCTAGGCGTGGGGACCTCGTTGGAGGTTCGGCCCTCGGCCCCAAAAAAAAAAGTCCCCATGGATCGTGATTTCACAACTGACAACGCCCTCCACACCACCAGAGACAGAAACAGAAAGGTTGTGATCGTGCGAGATACAGTGATACAGAAGAGTCACGGTCCTCAGCATTGAGGAATGCGACGCAAGGAAGAAGAGGTACTATTAAAACTACTTTTACAGTAGTATTGCGCATTTTTATTCTCACAAAAACTGTAAAGCATTCGAAACCTGGTAAATAATAATATACCTTTAAAAAAATCGCGAAATTAAACCGTAAAAGTAGTTTTAGTTACATCCTTACAGTCTTAATAGTCCAAACAGTCTTATTATAATACCAACTATGATTACAATACTATACGTTTATGGACGCGATAAGCTTTTATTTGGTGAAATATACCTTCTAACTAAAAGGAGAAAAAAAGGAGTATGCGGTATTTAAAAAAAAGAGTAGGTACTAGTTACATTAAGACCACCTTCTATATTGGTAAAAGGTAATTGTAGTACCTATACAAACAGAAATATCAATGAAACTGAAGAGCAATGGAAGATTTCATAACGTTTTATTAAATACCTTTCTTTTGGGATCGAGACCTAAAAAATCAAAGGCGGATGGTTTTGCGGGTGCAACTGAATCGGAATCACAATCTACTGAGAAAATCTGGCGATGCTGAGGAAACTGAGAAGCTCAGCGGGCTTAAGTGTCATGTCCATCTGAACATAACTGGACTACAATTACCTGCTGACACTGTCTTAATATACATTTCAATGGGTTCCGCAGATCGATGTAAAAATTAACGTTCCTCACGTAACACGGTGCTCTGACAGCTATCCTGCAGAAGTGTGTGAAGAAGAATGTAAGTGTCAGCGGCATGATCTAACACTACGATCGCATAGGTCAATATTGGGCGTATGCCAATTGTGTAGTGTCAACTTACGAAGGAATATTTGTCTCCGATTGAAGATCATCGGGTAGTCGGCCGACGAAAAGCTCGACACGATCGCAGTCAAATAAAGTAGAAACAGCAGGTCATTGATTTATTCAGGATGGCTAAAACTTCCTCGCTCAGGATAGGTATTATTAGTCGAAGTGGGTGGTCGCGCAGGTGATAGTCCTAAAACCTACTAGATTACTACATATTCTTAGTATAAAGTCAAGTCATAGCTCCAAGTTTGAAAATTAAATATGGAATTTCTCGAAAACATCTCGCGAAAAAAATAATCTATAATTTAAAACGATACTACATATTCTGCATTCGTGGCGCGACATTGATATACAGTTAAAGCGCCATCTATCAAGCTATGAAGTTATCTCCTCGTCCCGTTGTTAAAGATGGTTGAATAAATAATTTTGTTAATCTTAATAACAAATTTATAGTACAAATATTTAAATACATCTTTTGATGAACATTCACATGAAAGTCTAGACTAATTCAACACACTACGGTACTTTTGGCGGGAAGGTGAGGATATGTAATGTTTGGTTTGAATCGTCTACTTGACAAGCAAAGGGCGCATAGCCTATACAGCAAAGCTTTTGACTGAGCTAAGTCTGTTGTTTAAAAAATGAAATGAAATTGATTACGGAATGGAATTAAATAGGGTAAATGAATCAACCTCAAATTCACCACACACCTCAATACACCATACACCTTAACACATCACAACACTTCAAATCTTAGATGAGATTAAATACAGTAGCCTCTCAGTAAAATGGTGGGAATTTATTGAGAATTCACTTGTCTTTTTGAATGAAACTGAAAACTAAACGATATTGTTTAATTTTCCGACATAGATCCTAAGAAACTCATAAACTAAAAAAATTTAATGAAAAAACACTAAATTTACTATATCAACGGTGCCCAAACTGGTGTACGCCGGATATGAGGTTTCAATTGTGTGATACAACGACTATCCCACTCCGATTCATCATGAATTCCAAACACTTGATTGTTTCATAAGATATCTAGTTTCCATTATTGTAATCTATGTATTGACGAATATTTGGAAATTTTAATTTTTTTACCCGAAAAAAAATTTAAAGGCATTCATTTAATAACGCTGTCATTATGAACACATGAATAACTAGCTAAAATTCTTACTTTTCGCAGCATTTGAACCCAGCTGAAAACGCTCTCGCAACAACAATCTTGCCCGTTAGTCCAGGTCCATACGCGTCTTTTAGATTATTTTGTAGTGAGAAAATCGGTACAGTGAAGAGAAAAAAGTATATTTAAGTTTATCCGGTCATATTTCTCAATTAAGTAGTACTTGTGACCTGGCCTCTATTGCCCAGTGTTGCGTCTTGTGGCAATAGTAAGTGACAGCTTTGAGTTGTAAATATATTTTATCTGTACTTAAATTTTCTCACTTGGAATAGTTTGTTTTTCTGTACTTTAATTGGTTAAAAAACAGACAGCTAAACTGCACTCAAAGATTTGATTGGTACAAAACTTTGAAATTATTAATTGACAAATAGAATAACAGACAATTTATATAAAACTTTATACGGAAACAAACCATGTGTTAACATGTCGAATTTTCGTCACGATTTGTGTGTCGTTTGAATAACTGCGTGACTGCTATGGAAATATCAGCCAATAGTCGTTCTATATATTTTCTTTTGGATTAATTTTGTTTGTTTAAATTCGTCATTAAAAATGAGTGTTGAAGCATTCGACCCAAGCTCGCAATCGCTCACGTTTCTGGAAACAGAGGAAGGGGACTTTATTGGAGCAGACACTCAAGGCTCTGAGTTTGAGTTCACGGATTTTACATTACCCTCTCAGAGCCAGACACAGGCTTCACAACATGACCATGGGTTGTCTTCATCCAACCAGGTATGTAGAACACCACCGAAGACACATCACTTCAACTCACAGAAAGATCAGTAACTATTGACATTTATCACGTTGTAGGTTAACGGAATAGGACGTGTAGAATTGTCGTCTAAAATCTCTAACGTGACTAATACGATACCGGAGCTGCAATTCGAAGAGGAAGATGAGGCTTTGTACAGCAACAAGGAACTTCCAGATCATGCTTGTAAATACTGTGGCATACACGACCCGGCCACAGTCGTTATGTGTAACATATGCAACAAGTGGTAAGTAGTATCATAATCCCAAAAATGTAGTATTTATAGACGTTTTTTTACAATATACATGACCTCTGCTTCCTAACTATTTTAAGTATTGGTTTATTTTATCAACATGGGTTGTTACATCTTTCATGGTTATCTGTCTAATGAAATTAGAATGTTAGGAAAGTAATAGCAACTCAAATAGAACTGTGGCCTCTCAAAACAGGCATGTCTTTTGTATCTCTCAAAACAGACATGGTTCTGTCATCCATGGGCCCTGGAAACAACATTAGTTAGATCTTTGTAACTTTACACAGTTATTGGAATGTAGATTGCAGATTAATAAGTTGCCTTTGTTACAACGAATTTGCTTTAGATTCTGTTGCTACATCTTCTTTGAGCATGCCCTACATTGGTAATTATCAACTGAGTAGAGGAATTAATCAGGGGAAAAATTTACTGGATTCAAGTAGTAATGTTATAACTCATTGAAAATGACCTACTTGAATTACAAAATTTAGATATTGAAGTATATAATACAGCTATGCTACATCATAGATCGGATACACTTTAGAGATAGATAAAACAAAACACTTGCATACTACTGAGCAATTGGAAATATAAAGATAATAAAGAATTAGTACTTTATTACTTAAAAGTTAACCAAATTTTAGTAAAATTAAATGTCTATGAAAGAAATTGCAGTGAAAATTGTTATACACAATTTATTGAATTTACTGTGATTCCTTAAGAATAATATTTTTCAGGTTCTGTAATGGCCGCGGTAACACTTCAGGGTCTCATATCATCAACCATTTAGTACGTGCAAAGCACAAGGAAGCTGCATTGCACCGTGACGGGCCACTTGGCGAAACACTTCTGGAATGTTACTCATGTGGTGCTCGGAATGTATTCGTACTCGGCTTTATACCAGCTAAAGCTGATTCTGTTGTTGTGCTACTTTGCCGGTATGATAATTTTTTAAAACTTAATAATCACTCATTAATATGTAATATGCTATTATCTCAGTCATAAAATCTGTGACTCACTCCAACATAAACGATTGCTCTCACTCTGTGAAACACTGCGCCACATGGTGCCGCATCACGAGAGCATTGGTATTGCAGGATCCGACTGATCCACTGACCACGACCACTCTGTCAAGAGTGTACAAATAGGAAGAATTATCTCAGTGCTCAGAAAAAAAAAATTATAAAACAATTGAAACCAAGATAAATTAGATAATTATCAACTGCCCGCTACATTTAATATCAAGAATTGAATTTTCAGACAACCTTGTGCAGCTCAAAGCTCTTTGAAGGATATGAACTGGGATCAGGAACAGTGGAAACCTCTGATATGTATGTTTATATCTTTTAAAACATAAAAAATCAAATGATTTGTAGTACTGATAAGCTTACATTTATTTATGTGTTTATACATAACAAGTTTTATATCTAAACCTGATAAATAGTGATCATGAACATAGCATCCTGAAGTTGACCTGGAAAGACTTGTAGATGATGATGTAGATTTATATATAAAATATATTACAGCCCACATGATGTTAGTAGTTACAACAACAGTATCAATATTGACACTACTTACCTTGGAGATATGAAGTCGAAAACTCCATTTCAAAGTCTAAAAATGTTCTTAGATAAGAAATTACTCTAACCAGTATTCTTATCCCACAATTCAAGTCATTATGCATTATTGTCATTATACCACCTCATCACGAGCTGTCTTCAATGTAAAATATCTTTATGTAACTTCATCTTGACCAATTTTAAAACCTATTAAGAACATAAAATGTTTTAGTATATGACATAAAAATAGGTAGATAGCTTTTAAATATTAACCGACAATATTCATTATAATTACAGCTGATCGTGCCTTCCTGTCTTGGTTGGTGAAAGTGCCATCAGAAACAGAACAAATGCGAGCTAGACAAGTAAATTTTTATATACAAATTAGACATTTATAGAAATATTAATTAATTTACTTATTTATACCTTTTTATAAACAAAACAATACATATAATAATATGATTTATAATAAAATATTATTTTATACATATAAATAGCAATGGGTAACAAAACAAGAGTTTTAAAACTGTTTTGAAGAAGAAAATTATGTTTAGTAGTTTTAAGTAATTGAAATTTTCAGCTGCAGTCTTCTAAAAATTAGCCATAATCTTTCTATTAATAATGTGCAATCTTTTCTGTTTGCACATGCTCTTTTTTATTTCTGCTCATGGCTTATCCAGGGCTTGTTCCTAATTATTGCATTGACAACATCAAATTCTGTTTTCCAAACTTCTTTTTTTGCAGAAGGAAATATTTTGTATCCCTAATAAGCTATAATATATTTAAAATTTTATTATAAACATTAGCAAATTACAAATTGTTAAGAATCCTATTTTTATTTTAGCCAATAATCCTTTTTTTAAACATATATTGATGAACATGTTCTAAGTGGGTATCAGTACCTGTAAAAATCACTATATGAATTACGTGTTTGTTTTTATATTTATTTTAAGATTGAAATCACTGTTAACGGATGAATTAAACAAAATGAATCTTCCTTTCCTTATCACTATTCAATTTAAAAATCAATTCCAGGTAACTCCACAGCAAATAGGCCGCTTAGAAGAGTTATGGCGTGACAATGTGGATGCTACTTTCCAAGATTTAGAAAAACCAGGAGTAGATGAGGAACCACATCAGGTTTTGCTGAGGTAATTATTTAAATATAAAGTTTGGCCTGTAATACTATCCATATTGTGTAATAGATAAGTACTATTTAAGAAACAGTTAGATTTTTACAGGTTAGTATATGACCCCTTAAACTTAAATGTATTTAACAGGATCATAATAACTAATGTTCGCTAACTATTCAAAATAGGAGCATAACAACTCATAGTCACACCATTCAAAGATTATATTTTATATATTGCATTTTTTTTGTGTGCTATTGACATGTATGTGCTTGCATAGTGCATAATAATGCTGATTTAATCCACTCCATGCCTATTTATGAAAATATTTTTCTGAGAGTTAATAATGTGTTTTTGCTGTTCCTTTGCTCTAGTCAGTTTTATTTTTATTTTTAATAATAAAATTAATTTCCAAATGGAAAAAATTAACAATACAGTAATTCTCATATATTTTGTATATTTATCTTTCATTTCTGTACAGGTATGAAGATGGGTACCAATACCAAAACATATTTGGTCCTCTTGTAAAGCTGGAAGCAGACTATGACAAGAGACTGAAAGAGTCGCAAACTCAAGAGGGTATTGAAGTTCGTTGGGATGTTGGTCTGAACAAAAAGACTATTGCCTACTTCACATTGGCTAAAACTGATAGTGATATGAAGTTAATGCATGGCGATGAATTGAGATTGAGGTAATATCAACATTCAAATTATATTTCTTTAGAGTTGTATATTAATGACCTAAATTTAGAACTGGATCACATGTGACATTTACTTTGTAACCTTATCAACAGGACAAACATGATTATGTTTAACAACCTATCTGTGGCGCAATGTATAATAAGTTAATCTGTTATTTAAAATTAATATGAATGGCAATTCAATTGTTGTATAGTTTTTCATACGTTTTACGTGATGATTTGTCAAAATTTTATTTCAGATATGTTGGTGAGATGCATAAAGCATGGTCCGGTGTCGGTCATGTCATAAAGGTCCCAGATAACTATGGTGACGATGTTGGACTCGAACTGAAGAGCGGTGCTGGGGCCCCTCTAGATTGCACTTCTAATTTTGTTGTTGATTTCATCTGGAAGAGCACTTCTTTCGACAGGTTTATAAATTTATTCAAAATTTTTTTTTTTAAGTCATAAACCTTTTTTATAACTTGGATGAGTGGACGAGCTCACAGCCCACCTGGTGTGAAGTGGTTACTGGAGCCCATAGACATCTACGACGTAAATGCGCCATCCACCTTGAGATATAAGTTCTAAGGTCTCAAGTATAGTTACAACGGCTGCCCACCCTTCAAACCGAAACGCATTACTGCTTCACGGCAGAAATAGGCAGGGTGATGGTACCTACCCGCGCGGACTCACAATAGGTCCTACCGCCAGTAAAACCACGATGTAAGAGAATTAATGCTTGTTTCTTCTACTCAAGCAGCTTTTTGGTATTAGTAAATATTCCAATCTACAGTATTTTTATCAGTCTAGACAGACAACTTACCATCAGCCTAAAGTGAAAGTGTTACTGAAGTGCATGGACTGAAGTAAAGTCCAAGAGGTGACTTACTTGCCATCAGTGACTTATGTTAAAACACTTCTCAATTTACATCTTAACCAAGCTTGATATAGAAATAATTTATCTGTTTGGTGGTTGGTGTGATAAACTTTTTCCTCTTGTATAATAAAGTTTAGATCAGTGTGCTTTTTACTAATTTTTACGTTTTTAAAACGGTACGCTCATTACATTACAGAATGCAACTGGCACTACGTAAATTCGCCTTAGATGATTCTTCAGTGTCTGGTTATATATATCGGCGTCTGTTAGGCCACGAAGTTGAGGAAGTGCTGTTTCGAGTACATCTTCCAAAGCATTTCAGTGCTCCTAATTTGCCAGACCTTAACAGATCTCAGGTACTGCATTATGAACTTATAATAATAATATTATACCATGAAAATTGTATTTTTAATAAACTGAGGACATTTAAAAATATTCAATTTCAGGTGTACGCAGTTAAGCATGCTCTTCAGCGTCCCCTGTCTTTGATCCAAGGTCCTCCGGGAACCGGTAAGACTGTCACATCCGCTACTATAGTGTATCAGCTCGTCCGGCAAAACGGTGGACCAGTATTAGTTTGTGCACCTTCGAACACCGCCGTCGATCAACTAACTGAAAAGATACACCGGACTGGACTCAAGGTGGTCCGATTGTGTGCCAAGTCGCGAGAGGCAATGGAGTCTTCCGTATCGTTCTTGGCACTTCACGAACAAGCTCGCGCTCTCGGTTCTGCTGATAGCGAACTTCGGAAACTTACTAGACTCAAGGAGGAAGCCGGTGAACTTTCTGCCGCCGATGAAAGGCGATATCGTTCGTTGCGCCGCGCCGCTGAGAGACGCTTACTGGACGCTGCGGATGTCATATGCACCACGTGCGTAGGCGCCGGGGACCCTCGCGTTGCTCGTATGAGATTCCAGTCCATTTTGATCGATGAAGGCATGCAGTCGACCGAGCCAGAATGTATGGTGCCTGTAGTTCTAGGAGCCAGACAGTTGATTCTAGTCGGTGATCACTGTCAACTCGGTCCCGTGGTAATGTGTAAGAAAGCTGCAAAAGCCGGTCTCAGCCAGAGTCTTTTTGAACGTTTGGTCGTTCTCGGAATCCGTCCGTTCCGACTCGAAGTACAATACCGCATGCATCCTGAACTTTCACGTTTTCCTTCAGACTTCTTTTACGAAGGGTCCTTGCAGAATGGAGTCAGCGCCGAAGAAAGGCGTTTACACAAAATCGATTTTCCGTGGCCCAGACCGGACAGGCCCATGTTCTTTTACGTCACTCAGGGACAGGAAGAGATTGCCGGCTCCGGAACTTCGTACTTAAACAGAACTGAAGCTGCGAATGTTGAAAAACTCACAACTCGGTTCTTAAAAGCAGGCGTCCGTCCCGAGCAGATCGGTATAATAACACCTTATGAGGGACAACGATCCTATCTTGTGCAGCACATGCAGTACCAGGGCAGTCTACATGCTAAACTGTACCAAGAAATCGAGGTTGCCAGCGTCGATGCCTTCCAAGGGAGGGAAAAAGACATCATAATTATGTCTTGCGTGCGGTCCAACGAACACCAAGGAATTGGCTTCTTGAGCGATCCGCGACGTCTTAACGTCGCTCTCACGCGCGCCAAATACGGCCTCATCGTCGTCGGCAATCCGAAAGTGCTCAGTAAACAACCGCTCTGGAATCACTTGCTCGCTTTCTACAAAGAGCGCCGTGTACTTACCGAAGGACCGCTTTCGAATCTGAAAGAATCCGCCATTCAGTTCGCAAAACCGAAGAAGCTGGTGAACTCTCAGAATCCTGGCTCCCATTTCATGTCCACCTCGATGTTCGACGCGCGCGAAGCCATGGTGCCGGGCTCCATCTATGACCGAGCGCGGCCTCCGCGGGACCCGCTGGCGTACGTGGGGCCGGAGCGCGGCGCCCTGCTGCATGCGCCGGTGCCGCCGGCCGCCTTCCCAACGCAACGCCTGCCGCCGCGCATGCCGCGCCGTCGCGTCCCGCCGCGCTTCTCGCAGGAGCCCCTGTCGCAGCAGCCGCCGCTCTCACTGTCGCAGGGCGCATCGCAACCGGACTTCAGTCAGGAGTCCACGGCGCCGGAGTGTCCGTCGCAACCGGACGGGCTGCTGTCGCAGGACTCTACGTACCAGGGCGGGTTCAGAGCACGCTGCAGTCAGTACTGAGAGCGGAGAACGCGGCCGCGGCGCTGACGAGACGACCCGCCCCGACCGGAACGTTAGTCTTCGCCCGTCGACCGTGTTCGCGAGTGGAAACTCAGACCTTGGAAAATGTGTCAGCGCGAAACGAGCCCTCGCGGTCCACGCGCGGGCTAAATGTTACCGCATACAGGGATAGAAATTCATTGGAGGTCCGACTACAGAAATAAACGGAAAACCCGACTGCTGCCGTGTCTATCCCCTTGACCTGTGGCGTAAGGAAATCTTTAATGATTTACCTTGTACGCCTAGAAACTAGAAATCGACATTTACCCGTTTCATCATCTAAATCGACAAAATGTATTATCGAAATTCTGTAATTATTTCAATCAGCAAAATAACATTTCGTTATATAAAAAAAAACTTTTAGTATTTTATGTAAATTACATAAGCAACAAAAATAATAAAAGCAGCATGCGAGCAAAAAAAACGAGGAAGCAAAAAAGAAATTTCTTAGTCGACCAAATTGCATCTCATAAATCGAGTCTCACTTGATTTTGGTCAGTTGTGAACTCGATGCTTTCATCACCGAATACATTATCGATACCATTTCACAAATAGAAATTCAAGGAAATCTAAAATTTCATAATCAAGTTAGTAAACGGTGTTAAATTCCGGTTATTATTTTTCCACAATCATTATCATTCGTGAAAAGTTCTTCATAGATCGTTGACATTTATTTCAAAACTAAATTTCGTCTGAAAAAATCATGTTCACTTGTAATTGTTTTTCCTTCTACAAAAATCATATAAAATGTACTCGTGCATCTGTCATTGTCACAAAACAAAAATATAAAAATTAATACATATGACAAGCAATAATTTTGTGCATAATTTCACTAAACATAAGAATTTCTTTTTAATCACAAAGAACATAAAACAAGACAAATACATAATTCCAACTGCTTCTGTTGTTAGTTTCTGGTCATCCGTATATTGGTATTAGTGACTCTTACTTTAAACTAGATTTTATAATGAATTGTTACAAAATCTTCAAACATCCTCCATCTATCATCACCTCTCACAAAAAGGATACTTCACCTTAGATAGCTTGTGTTATATATTAGTTTTTTATGTATAATTGTTTAAAAGTACACTAAAATCTGAATAAAGACGTCGGATGTTAACTGAAATATGTTTAAATCTGTCTTTTAAAATGAATTCATATAAATTTTATGTCCTTCATTCAATTTCACTCGATTTACTTTTGTGATACAGAACTTTGTTAACACCCTCAGTGTTTCCTGAATATTTGTTTATCATCTGTCATTGTTTAATGAAAGATTTTTGTTATGTGTTTTTGTGAAGGAAATGCAATAAAAATTCAAGAATTTGTATATGTTTTTATTTATTTCTGTTAATAAGGGTAAATAAAATTACAATATAAATGAGTATATAAATGCCCAATATAACTATAAATTAATAGGTGATTATAAAATATTTTGCTTATTAAAAAAATAGGCTTTACGCAATTCCAACTTCAGGCCTTGAATTCATCCCAGAAAATCCAAATGCGTATAATACTTAAATAGCATAACTAATCACATGTTTACATTAGTAAAGCTGACAATATTGGCACTACAAATAATTAATATTTTATTATTATTAAAAGGCACTAATAAATTTTAATGAAAAGAAAATTTAATTGTAAAATCAATGCGTCACTATTTTTCAGTTCATTAGTTCCCCGCTCAATATAGCTTACAGTCTACAGACGCAACCGTATGTTAACTATAAATACTAAGAATATTCATTTGTCTTTATATGATCTGTTTGAAACCTTTCAAGTATCAGATGTTAAATGCAATATATTTTATTTGAGCATATAGCAGTAGTCAAGACAATTCCTGGATATCTAATATCTTCATATGGTATAAAACGTTACAATCACAACCTAAATGTGCTTCACATAATTTCGTAGTCAAAACGCAGATCTTCGTAGAGAAATAAATATATTATTACGAGACTCCATTTTTTGCCACGTTTTATGCACTATTTTTTTAATGAACAAAAATATAAATAGTGTTATCTACGGCCGATAATACATAGATTTTATATGCAGTAGTTGAGTAGATAATAACACGGCCCACATGAGATAAAGTGGGTATCAAAACACGAGGTATAGTACTCCTGAAGGTTTTTCAATTAGGAAGACAATTCGTTCATTTTCTATTATCGCCACATCGGTCAAACTTTCTGATCGCCAAGTTACAGTAAAGTATCTCTTGCCTGTACATATCTTAAGTGTCTAAATTTAAAAAAAGCAATGAGAATGACAAGGAAGAATTTCATGTCTGATCTAAATTATCACTAGTTTAGTTTATTTTCTTTTTTTTTTTAAAATGGGTAAAATTCTGAATCTCAAACACGAACAACGATTAGCAACCAAAAATATCACAAAATTTTGCAAACTTTGAGATTCGTGCAAAATACTCTACCAAAAAATAATACTTTCTAAACTTTTCGCTTAAACAATACGAAATACTGATTTTACAATTCTGCTTGAGATGATTTGCTTGCTGGAGGCTCCGAGGCTCTTACTGAGGAAGCGGGGGTGGTTGAATAGCTGCATACGTAGGATAATACGGAGCGAAGTTTGGCGTGCGTATCATAGTGTGGTTACTGTCGCCCCTGTCCTGAATGGTTCGTACTGAATACGGAGATTCTTTGTAAACTGGTTCAGCTGAAAAGGAATTAACACATAAATAATTAAATCAAGAATAACTGTCGGACGACATGGCCCGCCTTAAGTGATTACTGGACTAAGATCTTGAGACCTGAATTCGAAATCTATATATTAATACGTGAAGCAAAAACTTTGTATCCCTTTTTACGAACATTGCGCGGACGGAGGAGTATGAAATTTCCCACACTTATAGAGAATATAGAGAAGAAGTGCACAATGCTAATATTTTTTTAAAATAATGCCTAAAAGATACATTAAATCAATAAAGAAAAACTTACACACACTACATACCATGTATTTGACGCACACACGCATGCATACTATTTATAGTCAAACTTTTGTTCTTGACGTCTGTTGTCAAATTGAGAATAGATTAAATATTGTTTGTCTTTGTTAGTATTTTTTAAAATGTAGTCTTAGCGAAATTTGTGATTATAGAAGTATAAAATACAATCATAATAGTGTACAAACTTACAATTCCAATTAATTATAGTCGAATTTCGACTACTGTGGGACCTCTAGTTCCAATAAAATCGGAAAGATGACATAAAACCAACCCCGATTCGGGTACAAACAATTTGAATGAGTTCTATTAAATGTTGAATACTACGATATGAGGCAATGCCTATTGCGTTTGCTAATTTCGGGGACCAAATCGTCTTTTCGCATTAAAAGTGTACAATTTCCAAAAATATTCGCAATTGAGTTAACATGCGGAATCATTTGGTATCACCAATATTTTTCTCGTAAATACTGTCAAAAGAGCGTAGTTTAGTTTTAGTTTTTTTTTAATTTACCTTTATTTTGACTACTATTAACAAAATTAATACATAATTTTATCTTACTTTAAAAGACAGATAATGTAACGGGTAAAAACTAAAAAATAAATGTTGCGAAGATGATTAATATTAAAAATATGATATTATTATTATGTTAAACCTTTAAAACACTTCTGTAAAATTTAGTAAGTTTTGAGATTATAAAGTTTTAATGCGAGTAGACGAAATCTCAACTCGACTAATAGCGCTAGCCGTGTAATTATACATCTGAAAATTGAGTTAAGTATATTGGATACGTGATACTTACTAAGCGTAGGATATAGTGATTGGAATGGAGGTTGAGACGGTTGTTGTCCCGGTAGCACCCATCCTCCTGGAGCGGAATCGCCAGAAGTTGCGGGTATCTGCAAATTCGTTACGTTCTAAAAAATCATCTCTCTCAATTCTCTTCACTGCACAATTTAAAATTTAGAAATAAACATATTTATTAGAGCTGTACAATTTAACCGGCCAAGCCGGCTATAAAAGTTAGCTAAATTAATTAGGTAGCTAACCGATAGCTAACCGGCTTAGTTAATTTAACCGGTTAACTAATTAGCTCAGCAAATTAGCCAACGGCTAACGAGCTAAACGGCTAATTCTTTTTTCAGCTATCCACTGATTCCTATTGATTCCTGATTGCTATTGTAAAAATACGATTACAGAACTGAATTTTGTAAAGTCAATGACAGGTCCATGTTTTTTTTAGTTGAACAATTCAGACAACGATATGAATTTATGTATGACGCTTTGTTGTCCGTTGAAATAAATCGTATACACTGCAAAAATCTCAAGACCATGACTTGATGTTGAATAATTCCTTAGCCAGTACACACTACAACGTAAACGCGGGCTTCCGCCTTAACACAATGGTCGCAGTCGCAATGACCTGAACTGAAGGCAATGAATGAACAGACTCTAAAATACTTCGAAAATGGTTCAAGTAATGGTAGAGAAGGAAATATTAAAAAATGACGGAACAAAAGTCTGCAGTTATTAATACCTGCACGTAAGATCCATATAAAGATATTATAATATGAATTCATTTTCATAAAAAGGAGCAATAGCTACAAAGTCTAATGTAAAAAGGTATGTATGTTACCCCCACGGAATATAAGAATATGATTTAAAACGCGAAAACGGATATATTATGCACTAACAAACATCCAATCACGTGTGTTCATACTTTATTTTGTTCCGCGTCACCGCACATTAGAATTAAATAATATAGATATGCTTTCAATGGGGGGTCACCATTTATTGGTTGGTATATCAAATTACCTTTCAAATTAAGATTAAATATGTACCCACTTATTGAATAATAACATTTGAAACAAACGTTTCAGTGGAATCGGTCCAGTAGCTCGAAAAGTCAAATATGCAAACAGTAGTTTGTTTTTTTTTTGCTTTTAATTCAGTGGTTTCTGAATAAACTCAACATAATGAAATTATTATTTTTTCTTTTACCTGTTTATCTTCAATGGATACATTTTACTTTTGTATCTAATTATATCACAGACTTATATACTACTAATAATACTTAATAATACTAGCTAATACTACAATAGACTAGGCATAATTTCAGAAATACGCACATTAGCAGGTTGTCCGGGAGTCACGGGCAGTATGGCGGGCTGGCTGGGCGAGTCCGGGACGGGGGCAGTGGGCACGGGCTGTCCGGCCATACCTACCAGCGGTACGGTACCGATTGTTATATACTTCTTGTCGTGCATGTTCAAATGCATACCTGACACTACACATTCGACCTGCAAATATTTAAAAACATGCAATCAGTGGTATCACATTAAATCCAACCATGTATTAACAAAAAGTGTATGTGTGTGCAAGTCACACGGTAGAAGTGAAACTTATAAATAAGATATAGATATACTGACTATCCCACTACCATATGTATGTTCTTGTATATGGACAATATCTAGTAGACGATAGTGGAGATGCCACGAAGAGTCGCACAAAGAGGAGTGCGAGAACGTCTAATGTGTTCTATCTCATTCTCTCGCTGACTGAATCTTATACATTTGTGTTTGTGTCTCTAGGGACTTATTTTTTCGTTTCATCGAGTTTGAAATCACAACGATTCTAAAGAAGTTTCACTTAAAAAAAATCAGATATATTCAATGGTTAAGATATACGACAATTTACAGTGAGTTCGGTGAACTATTTCAATCAAAGTACTCTAAACGCCTCCCTACATTTTTAATGTTTTATGGTCTATCCAGTCGTGGCTTCCATCGCTCATCAAAATTTACTTTTCTTTAAATCTCGTTTTAAGGAAGATAATATGTCATAATGCTCTAGAGATAGTAACTTTAATAATAACTGGGAACAAATCACGAACGGTCAGTCAGCCCCAAAATAGGAGCCCCTGTGTTATGGGGGCACCAGAGACTGACATGTATGATTGTATATGTTTAAATATATACATCTATAGATAATAAGCACCCAGACAAAGAGCAAACACACCTGTTCACCTCACGAATGTTTGCAAGGTATGGGAATCGAAACCACGATCCTCGACGCAACAGTCAAGAGCGCTAACTAATGTAACACCGAGTCAGTCATAGAAATACCGTGGAAGGCGTTCTTCCATTACATAGCCGGATGTTAAGTGACAAAAATGAACTCTTAAAATATTTACACAAGACCAAGTCTTGAAGCGTAAAGTACGGATTTATTTCTTATTTAAAAATCAAACCATTTCTCTGAAAACGAAATAAAATTTGATAGTCTGTTACACGCTCACCAGACGTGCATGATAGGTAAATACTCGTATATATCCGACCTTGACTAACGAGTATTACATCATCAAACAACAATGGATGCTAGTAATATTTAAAATTATCTAGTTTGGATTAGCCTTGAACTACGTTAATTCAATTTAATTTTGGATGTTCTATGATTTTTCAAGTATTCGTTTGATAAATTAATCTTAACGGCAAGAAAGCGAAATATCCAATACAGACAAACATAAAGACATTCTAAATTGTGAATAATATTGTTTCAATAAAACATCAAAATGCAATTATTTAGTCATGTATAAAATGGATTTCATGTACCTAAGTCAGAAAACTAATAGCATTATTATAATTACTATTAATTTTTCATACCTTCAAGTCATAATCCAGATCTATAATATTACAGTTGACGAGATTCGAAGGTGGAATCGGGGGTATCTCTATGTTCAGATTCCAGTGTTTTGTAGTACCGGCTGGAGCAGGACCCTCTTGCAGTGTCAAAATAACGTCTTTAATCTTCTTTGTCGCCGACGAAGGAGATGTGGCCCGATACGTTACCACCTTTTAGGGTAGGGTACATTAAGTTTCATTAAGTCTCCAGAGCCATAACTTGGTTATTGGAAAAGCAACAACAATAAAAACATCATGTATATAAAAGATTTTGCAAGCCTATAAACAATTTATAACCTACGTAATTAGTGTACAATTTTATTGGGACATAGACCTAAGGTCTCAAGATGGGTGATAGCATTAGCATTGTAATGTTTATGACTATGGTGACTACTTAACACCAGGTGTATCGTGAGCTCGTCCATCAGTATACGTGATAAATAAAAAAATACTAGACGATACAAACAATTCACTATACATAATCTATACTATACATATACATACACTATACATATCACAAGTATATGATATTATATTATTGCATTGTCATAGAAGTAAGTCCCACTGAAACACATAACCTTTCCAGACATTCCCGACCAGACTTTCGATCATGTTACAATACATTGCAGGTACTGCAAAATAACATACTTTTTTCCTGAACTTGTAAATTTTTTTCTGTCTACGTTTTCGGAGTCCATTCGCTTACATAAGGGACATACATAAACATTCCCGTTTTAGAACCTGTTAAAATACCTTTTACATTTAAATAAAATCGTGTAATCCCATTTATGTAAAATATGTCTATTTAACTGGCTGAAAGTTAAATTTTTTATTTAAATCTTGAAAACAAGAAAGTTTTTGCTCTGGGGTTAATTTTTATAAAACAGCAATCCTGATTTTGCAGACATAATCATTGCTTTGTACATATCATTATCAGACAGCAATATTGTATTTGCACTTAATTATTATTACCTTATCGCAAACATAACAAACTGAATTATACATCTTTTAACAATTAATTATGGAACTGTTACTTTATCACAAATTAATATCCATATAAAACTAATCAAATTAAAAAAATTAAGACTCACCTTCCTCAAAAATATTTTTACAAGATGAAGTTGGACATTGCTCTTATTTTCAATGTCTATTTTCAAAGGTATTACTTGACCTGGACAGTAACCAGATACAGGAGCCTGCACATCCACTGCTAAAGGTGGTGATGCGCAGCAAAAACAGCAGAACGTCTTTTCTAATTGAATGTGGATTGGTTCCTGTGATCAATGTATGTATTTTGCATCACAAAACAATCAAATAAATAATACGGTCTTATGAAAATGTATTTTACAAGATTTTTTTTTTTTCAGAGACCTGCGGCAGATATTTAATTACTCATTACAGTTATGTAAACTAGTAGAAAAATATTCAGATCTGAATTACATGTTACGAAAGTAATAATATTTCTCTTATATATATAGGTATATATTGTGTAAATCTCTTCGCAACTTACTGCCACTGCCAACATGTAGTGACATTGTCATCTAATCTTCCTACATTACTGTTTTCCTAATATCTATTTTGAGTAGTCATTCTACAATATTGTACATGTTGAGATGATTTCAACTTCCTCCAGTAAAACAATTAAATGTTTAACTTTAAAACATAGAGAGTGAGCTTTTAAATTCAATTGAGATATACATTTAATAGTTGATAGGTTCTTTATAACTTCATATTTATATTAAACCTTTAACTAGTTATATATAACTTCTTAACTTGATAACTTCATAATAACCAATTATATAACCTGCTGGTTTTCAGTTATTTTGCATGACTAAAGTGATAATAGTAATATATGGATGTTCTTATCTATTAAAAAATTTGATTTGGTAGCCCTTATAAAATTGGTATAGTTTGTTTTTAAGCTGTGGTATCTATGTTCTTCTCTTAATACAAGGTAGGCCCCAAGCTCTTCTGGCCATCTACACACTGTTAAACAGTCACTAAAATTGCTGAGTGTATTTTCTTAATTAAAAATCTTTATTTTACCTTGTAAGATGGATTGAGATTCAAATCCAATGCATTTATTACTGTAAATGCCATCTTGGTTTCCTGATCAAATTTCCATGGTCTGTCTAATGTTACTTTGACAGTGTATCTGACATAACCATGTTCCCCTTCAAAAGATGAAGGCAGGACAGGTGGCAATGTGCAGGTAAAATTATATATGTGTTTCCCTTGTGGTATTTCAATTTCATTCCCTATAACATTTATTAATCATATCACAAATGAATATTAATTAATTTTAAAATTTGATTATTTTTCTTAGTGTAAAATTAATTGAGATTGCTTTTTTGATGTACTTGATCATGCTATTGAGAATCAGATCATGACACCATTTTTTTGTTCAACTCTTCTTATGAGGCTTTATTACAAAGGTGACAAAATTGACTTGGTGCTACAGAGTTTAATTAATGTATTCCTTATAAATTAAATGATTTTGAAATAAAGTGACAAAACAAAACCATTTACTTGCCTAAATATATCATGTTGTAATGGCAATATATGGTACACAAAGAAGGCTTTTATAAAATGTACTATGGTTTGAGACATAAAATGTATCCACATTTGTATCCACATTTTATGTATATTTATCACATATTTATGCAGATTTTTAACATTACTGTTAGGTAGTGGGATTCGTTTTTGTTTGTTTCAGATTTATTTTACTTGTCAATGTTTACCATGAAAAAAAGTTTTCAAAATTGTTTCCAGCAATCGCAGGGAAAAAATCTAGTTTCTGTCCATTCAAGTTGTGGTGACATAGAATAGGTTTCCCGTAAATATTATTATGGCACTGACATTAAACTCCTTCAAGACTAGATTAGTTTAATGAGAAAATGGTTTAAGAATGCCAGTTAGCAAAATATAAAATTGTTACTATGATCTATCTTTTTGATATTGTAGGCATATGGCTTGCCTGAGGTGAGTGGTTACCATTGCAGGGACTTCAGAAATGCCTGGGGCACAGCCTACGAGTTCTTTTACTATCCGGCATAACAAATCTCAATAGTTTTTGATTCTGCAAATGTGCGTTTTCATCATAGGGATTTGTTTACTAATGCTAGATGACCAGAAAATATTATTTTTCAAATGCATTGTTGATTACCTGTATTACTTCCCAGTAAATAGTAAGAAATCTGGAAATATTCTTCATTTCCTGTATGCATAGTATCAGTTGATTCTGTTTTGCCTTGAGCATTTTCCTCCTGTTTGCTTTCATACCATTCGGTATGAGCTTCACCCTTAATTTTAACATGTATGCCTAAAAAGATTCAGTAGACTTTCACAATTCGTTTTCTGAATATGAGTCATTTATATTAATATGGAAAATTGTATGAATCTCACCTCGAACTTTTTTTGGACTATCAAAAACATATTCGATCCTTCCATTCACTGTTTGTCCTGCATAATATGTATTCCATTGATTATCCAAATAGATATTAGCCTCTTTGAGACCCATATCTTTTTTTATAAAATTTTAGATATTAAAGTAAGTATTGGTTAAAAAATTCAACTTAGATTACTAATAGGGATTTGACATGTTTATTGAAGAATCGAATGACAAAAATATCGATTTTAATCGATACAAATTAAATAATCGATCTGGTGAATCGACCTTTGATAGTCGAAAATTTCAATTCGATTATTACTTTTTCAAATACTCATAGAAAGCAAGCTTGAATAATTTAGGGTTTTTTTCATTTATTCTACAGAAATAAAATAATTTTAAAAGTATCTTAATTATTATTGGAAACAAATACTTTAAAGCTTTACTTTGGACGCACGCGCACACACGTAAGAAGGCTTGTATTACCCAAATATTCACAAACTCAATAAATGCATTCATTCAGTTCTGAAAGAATGTCAACGGATAAAATAAACCAAGAAAGTTTTTGTTTCTGAAAGTTGTGCTAAGATAAGAATACATCATTTACAACTTCTTTAATTGACAGTTCTGTTAATTGTCTTATTAAATCGTATATCGGGCTTCCATTCTCCAGATATCCATATACCAAAAATAGAAATTCAACAGCTTGAAGGTAGAAAAATTTCTAGAAATCGATCTCTCAATTCGATTTATTCTTTATTATTTAGAGTTCAATGCAGATTGTTTCTTTTGAAACGAGTCTATCCCTATTTAGATAAATTAAGAATAGCAGATTTAGAATTTTCGAATCAATTTAATACTTTTGCAAGTATTGATGTGCATTCTTTGCAATTCAATGCTTTGAAACTTTCTTTATTACAAAACAAAATTAACAAATCTTATTGTTGCTAAACAAGAATCGAAATAAAATATCAATTTAATTTTGCACGACATTCCTAAATCAGACTTATAGTCCGAGAGCTTGTACCAATTTTTGGGTAGGTATTTGAGGCAAGCTGAAAACTGGTCACATACCTCTCCTATTATATTCCAGCACGGAATTGCAGACCTGGCTGGTGAGTAGCGGGGCTAAATCAACCCCTACATTTTTTTAAATGTTAATTTTTTTTCCCCAAAAATATATTTGAGGCAATACGCAATTTATATATGTTGCAGTGTAATACTTAATAAATACGAAAAAAAATAAGCCAGACAATTTAATCGGGGTTGTAACATTACCAGACGCGTGCAAAAAATTTTTGCAAAAAATTATAAAAAATATTTTTGAGGCAGCTTGAAATTTTAATGGAGTGTTATTTATAGCTAAAAAATACGATTCCCAAAAAGACAGATCATTTCGGTAGGGCTTTCTACCTGCCAGGTGATCAAAGGATGGGTCGGGCCTGTACTGCTATAGACAAGCTGTAGTGTGAGAGAGAGCACATATCGACAGCTGTCTTCGTTCTTGCTTGCCGCGTTACTATTGGCTCTAGCGAGGCCACGTGACTGTGAAAAACAATTTTTTTGTTTTGAATGTAGGGGCAACAGTATGAATTCTGTACAAAAATTTTTGGAACAAAAATTGTTGAAAAATTATTATTTTTTTAAATTATCTTCAATAAATAAATATTTTTACGGAAATATCAAATATATAAACAATTCAGTACGTTTAAATTCGCATTAAAATTGGCAAAATAACTAATTTTTTAAGATAAAAAAGAAATCACAAAAATATATCCCTCTAACGTCCATAAATCAATACAATCACTTTTATGCAAAATGTATTTAGTACAAATTCAGAAAATTTTATATTTTTTACTCCGAAATTCTAACTAGAAACCGCATGGGTAAGTCACGTGGCCTCGCTAGAGCCAATAGTAACGTGGCAAGCAAGAACGAATACAGCTGTCGATATGCGCTCTCTCTCACACTACAGCTTGTCTATAGCAGTACAGGCCCGTACCCATCCATTATTTGTTTGATCACCTGGCAGGTAGAAAGCCCTACCGAAATGATCTGTCTTTTTGAGAATCTTATTTTTTAGCTATAAATAACACTCCATTAAAATTTCAAGCTGCCTCAAAAACATTTTTTATAATTTTTTGCAAAAATTTTTTGCACATCTCTGGTAATGTTACAACCCCGATTAAATTGTCTGGCTTATTTTTTTCCGTATTTATTAAGTATTACACTGCAACATATATAAATTGCGTATTGCCTCAAATATATTTTTGGGGAAAAAAAATTAATATTTAAAAAAATGTAGGGGTTGATTTAGCCCCGTTACTCACCAGCCAGGTCTGCAATTCCGTGTTGGAATATAATAGGAGAGGTATGTGACAAGTTTTCAGCTTGCCTCAAATACCTACCCAAAAATTGGTGCCAGCTCTCCTACTATTACTGAATATTTCATTAGTATATTAGAACTCAAACTATAAATACTCTGATCCAGCATATTGTACCATTTTGTCTAATTTGTGTCTTTTCACAGATCAAACAACTATTACTATTCTAGAATTTAATTCAATCAAGTCAACTTCAACTTGACTAAATTAGGAAAATAAAACGACAAATTTCATTTTATTTTGTTCCACTTCACTTTTTCTAAAACAGACATCCACATTACCAACGATAAGGCATAATGGTCTACGTTTTTCTTGTCAGTACAATAATACATTTTATGTGTATTAACTATATATTAATCGGCTTTTTTCTTTAAGTACACTGAAAAAAATTTCAGTAAATGACCACCATTTAACTGAGATTATATTTCATCCCATATCATCTGATCTCATTTCATTTAAGTTCATCCCAGTTGATGTCTGAAATAAATCATCTTGATTTCATTTCACTCCATTAAATTAAAATAAGACATGACGTAAAGGTCTTAGTTACCAGGTCATAAAATCCTTTAAAAAAATTATACATATGTATTGTACGGGACTAAAATGTGGAATTTTATCCATTAATTAATATCAATAAGTATATAATACTAATATAAGTTGTAGTAATGTACTTATTATAACAGTAAATAAGCTCAGATATACACCAAAAAGTATAACAATTCCTTGGAAATACCAGCTAACTAGTACTGCCAACGACTGCTGAATCTGAATATTGCTTTATTTAATAAATTTGTTCAATATTCACTATCATTAAAAATGTCAGATTGATGCTCCGATAATATAGTTTAATATTTATATAATTATAAAGTGGTTTAAAAAACAAATTGTCTCAACATAAACTTTTTGCTTGTTAAAAAATACCATCATGGATGAAGCCCAGAAACCGACGACAGTGGAGGAGTTAAAAATAAAAGGAAACGAATGCGTCAAAGATGGAAAATTCATCGAAGCTGTTTTACATTATACACAAGCTATCAAAATGGATCCAAACAACTATATTTTGCACAGCAACAGGTCATTCGCCTTTCTGAAACTCGACCAACATTATCTTTCATTACAAGATGCAAATGAAACAGTTAGATTGCAACCTCAATGGGCAAAGGTAATTTTGAGTTTGAAAGTTTTGCAAGATCTTTACAATATAATTTAAACTTCTACTGCCATCAATGTTTCTAAGATATAAGATATAATGATAATAAAAATTTCACATGTATAACTTTCACCAAAATAGTTATTTAGTATTGAGAACGGGATAATCATTTATTTAGTAAGCAAATTAAACTTATTTCAAAATAATTTTTTTCAGGGCTATTTTCGTAGAGCAGAAGTAGAAGCGGCAAGTGGTTTATATGATGAAGCAATTATTTCATATACACATGCTTTACAACTTGACCCACAGAATCAAAAGTTAATAGACTCCATAAAAGAGTTATCAGAAATGCAGGAAAATAGAATAAAAGGTGACTGAATTGTGCAAGCTAGCAATCTGTGTCTTTCTTTTTGGTCGTTCCCTCAATGCTGAGGATCGTGATGTTATGTCAATCTTCTCCACTCGGTCCGGTTCTGCACCATATGTACCACTCCCTGTATCTGGCCTCAGCCACCTCCTTGAGTTGGTCCACCCATCCATAATAACAATCTGTATAAGATTTAATAAAGTATCTGGTTGAAGTTGAATAAGTTTCTTTAGATGCCAAAGTTGATGTAAAACCTGTATCTGTAGTTTAAGTAACAAAAATACAGATATAATTATTAATTTATTTATGCTTTCCTATTTTTTCAGAAAGTCAAAATGTTGTATGGATTTGTACATGCATTGGTTTAGTAGTTGGAATTATGATTGTAATACTTGATTATAGCTTTACAACGAATCCTACACTAACTGTGAGTATAACGGAAGAGATATATTTTCAATCATTTTGAAAATAATGAAGATTACTAATATCATCATCATCATGGTTCCAAGCCGGTTTCGGCAACGGCGACCAAAATTACTAATATAATGAATGTTAAAAAAGCCAATGTTGTTTATTAAACTCACTGGTTGGTTGGTGTTGGGTGTCAAAAAGTTCTGTCCTGTGAAGATATTTTACTAACATAGAAATATCCATCAATTTATCATTATACTAGTACAGTATGGTATTAGGTGTATCTGTTTTAAGTATGTTTTGACTCTGAAATGAACACTGGCTGCTTAAGAATAAAACCACTTCTTAATCATAGAGCAAAATTAAAGCCTTTTTTTTTATTGCAGAACCCATTAAGCATGGTTGCATTTTCAATGGCATTGTCAGGATTGGGATTTGTTGTAGGAAAAACAACAACTATGATGTCATCATGGAGTGCAGGCAGATCACTGCAGCCGCCAGTTGACTTAGGTAATGTTGTTTAGTTTTTTGAGTTAGATTTTATTAGGGTTCCGTTAGACAAGACGAAACATGACAAGCCAAAAAAGTGTAAAAAAATATATTTCTATCATAGTAATTTTACTATAAATATACAGAAAGCTGTACACATTACCAGAAATATAAACAATTGTCTATAAACCCAATAGGTAATCTGTTGTGGATGCCCAAAACCCAGTACATCTGTACAAACACTGTTTTGTACTAAAATCCACCTTGCTCATTTTTGTTTTACTTTACATTAATGTTATCAGACAAATTGATGATACAATAAATCTTTATACTAAATCTATAAACTGAGGACAAATAATTAGATGTTGTTAATTTGATTAGCAACACTTTCACAGGAAATTTGTACTATTTTTTATTTTTATTTTTTATTGCTTAGATGAGTGAACAAGCTCACAGGCCACCTGGTGTTAAGTGGTTACTGGAGCCCATAGACATCTACAACGTAAATGCGTCACCCACCTTGAGATATAAGTTCTAAGATCTCAGTATAGTTACAACGGCTGCCCTACCCTTTAGACCGAAACGCATTACTGCTTCACGGCAGAAATAGGCGGGGCGGTGGTACCTACCCGCGCGGACTCACAAGAGGTCCTACCACCAGTAATTACGCAAATTATAATTTTGCGGGTTTGATTTCTATTACACGATGTTATTTCCTCACCGTGGAAGTCAATCGTAAACATTTGTTGAGTACGTATTTCATTAGAAAAATTGGTACCTGCCTGCGGGATTCGAACACCGGTGCATCGCTCAACACGTATGCACCGGACGTCTTATCCTTTAGCCCACGACGACTTCAAATTACTCATTATTACAATTAACTTTAAATTAAAAGGAGGTTCTTTTTTATCGTTTCTTTTTTTATTCAGTGATTTAACTTAAAGATTTGTGTCAAATTATTTGTCCATTATTAACTATAATTCCATTTTCAATTTAAGGTACTTTTAATTTAAACTTATTATATAAATATTTCTTAAAATTAGGGTACAACGACAGTTCTCAAGAAAAAGAAGATGTAATACCAGAAAGAAAAAACAAATATAGCAAAGCACAGGCACGTCAAAGGTACAAACAAGGAAAATTGTAGTGTTTATTACAATTTTTGTTTTAAGCTAAAATGTCATCAATGTTAATTTTGAAATTTTTTGTTGCTGAAATATCAGACAGCAATTCAAGAACCATTATTGAGTAAATTTTATTTGCTTTATTAATGTGTATTATGATATAGAAATATAGGTGAAGGATTTAATATAATGCAGTATAAGTGTTCACGTTTTTAGCCTCCATTGTTAAAAGACATTTAATGTTAAATTTATGTTAGTTTCTTAGACTGTGTGATATATTAATGTGAGATCAGAGGATATGTGTTTTAAACTATTAGAGAAAATAGCTAAGAACTAAGAAAACAGCTATAGGTATGTTATATCATGTTATGTTTAATTCTGTCAAATAAAAGCTACCTGACCAATAAGTTAAGACTGACCAATAAACAAAGTTAAGATTAGAAAATGTAAATTAATGATTTTTTTAAATATTTATTTCCACCTTCCAAAATATTTTGGCCACCACCCCACCACAAAGTTGACTTGAAATGATTACTTTATCAATAAACTAAAATGGGCCTACAGCTGTTCAATTTTAACTATATTATCATCTACTTATACCTGCCAGTAACTTTCAGAGGTGAATAAAATGAAATATTAAAAATAAAAATAGCTAGGCAGATGACTTCGGTTCATTCTGCGAAAAGGAAAGTATTAAAAATCCTAATTTTATATTTGAGTCGTCTATTATCAAAGGCGGCAATCTGACTTTTGGACAATGATTGGTAAATCAGAAAAACGAATTATTGACTTTGTATTCCATTGGCAGTCACAAAACTCTTCGGAACGACATCTTAGATAAATAACAGGTTAACTATTAACCTTTATTTAATGCAGGTTTTGAACCGTATTCTTTGAAGGAGACGATTTAGTTTTATTACTTACCCGATAATCACTAACTATAAGTCAAACATTTTTGACCGCACGTACGTATATGGTCTCGTTAATAGTTTATTTACAAACAATGGCAAGTTTTTTTTTAATTGCTTATGGTTGTTTTTTTTTTTATGCTCGATGGTTGGACGAGCTCACAGCCCACCTGGTGTTAAGTGGTTACTGGGGCCCATAGACATCTACAACGTAAATGAGCCACCCACCTTGAGATATAAGTTCTAAGGTTTCAATATAGTCACAACGGCTGCCCCACCCTTCAAACCGAAACGCATTACTGCTTTACGGCAGAAATAGGCAGGGCGGTGGTACCTACCCGTGCGGACTCACAAGAGGTCCTACCACCAGTAATTACGCAAATTATAATTTTGCGGGTTTGATTTTTATTACACGATGTTATTCCTTCACCGTGGAAGTCAATCGTGAATTTTTTCTAAGTACGTATTTCATTAGAAAAATTGGTACCTGCCTACGGGATTCAAACACCGGTGCATCGCTACATACGAATGCACCGGACGTCTTATCCTTTAGGCCACGACGACTTCAAAATTATGAAAGATAATGGTTCGTGTTCTAGAACTTCAAATGTACGACCTGAATATTTATTCCACCTCTTATATTCATTGGGTACTTCATTTTACCCCTTTTAGTTACTGTTTTTACCGTTGTTACCGTTTTTATTTTTTTGTCCGAATAGTTATTACTATACTTAGAATAACAAGATTTTTAATTGCTTTTTTTTCTAATGAGGGTGAATCCGTAGATTTCATATTATGCCTTGCGAATTTCTTAATACAGTGAGTGGTTTTGGTGGGTACTAACATTCCACCTATTATGGCCACATGGCAATCATGCCTTTCGGTTGAAAGCGAAGTGAATATTTATTTACCAAAATGGGCGGCATTGTTATATCAAACCTGTCCCCCAAATGTAAAGGCCTCATATTCGACTATTGAAAAAAAACAATGGTCTGCACCTAAAACACATTATTACTATTTATTACTGGTGGTAGGATCTCTTAAGTATAGTATAGTAATTAATATAGTATAGTATAGTAATAAAGTAAGTCCGCGCGGGAGTACCACCACCCTGCCTATTACTGCCGTGTAGCAGTAATGCGTTTCGGTTTGAAGGGTGGGGCAGCCGTTGTGACTATATTGAGACCTTAGAACTTATATCTCAAGGTGGGTGACGCATTTACGTTGTAGATGTCTATGGGCTTCGGTAAACACTTAACACCAGGTGGGCCGTGAGCCCGTCCATCCATCTAACAATAAAAAAAGGAAATTTATTGACTTGGCTGTGAAAAAATGTAGTTTTATTGATAAACCACTCCGCCTCCACCTCCCTCTGTCACAACGAGATTAACGATCTAAATTTAATCAAGGGGTTTCCTTTTTCGTAAATAAATGTAATCATTGATTTTTTGGGTACAGATAGACACACTTTTAAATAGTTGTAGTATTATAATTGCACATTGTCCTCAGTTTTTATCGAATCGAATAAGTAATATTCATGCTCATTGGTGTGTGTTCAACACATACAAATTACTGTTAACATAGTAGGTAAATAAGATAAGAAGAATTATAATATGGTATTTTATAATTGTAAATAGACATGCTTTAACAATAACCGACTTCAAATAGAAAAAAAAAGATATTCCAAAATAAATTAATATACACTAAAAACAATAATCATCGAAATCGGTTGGCGTGATATTGAGTTATTCATCTATTTGTCGCGCACATACTTAATGCAAATTTAAGACTTACATGGTTTTCTGATGGATACCATTATCAGAACTGGACTAAATTGATGGGACCACACGGGAAGCATCAGCTTTCTAATAAAAAAAGAACCATCAAAATCGATTCACCCAGTCAAGTTATGAGGTAACAAACAAAAAAAACATAGTCGAATTGAGAACCTCCTCCTTTTTGGAAGTCGGTTATTAATCGGTGACTACTTTACTCCAGACAGGATGTGAACGCGTCAGCGACAGAAATATTAATAGGCTTAGAGTTGATAGGATATAACACTTCTAAATTGTAACACTGAAAAAAAAAAACGAATACATTAATTTAATTTCAAAGATAATTATCACGATTTTGAAGTTGAAGATTAACTGCAAAAGTGTTTTTGTGTTATTATCTTTTAGGTATAGAAAAATCATTATAAAGGAGTCAAGTAATATAATTAATTATTATAAGAAGAAAATAAGAACACGTAAATAAGGGGAAATACTTTATTGATCCTTATGTAAAATGTATTTCGAAAATTGCGTTAATACAATATATCTCTTGAATAAAACACTTGGTCTCATACTTACACTTAAAATAAGTTTAACATTGTATGGAGATAAAAAAACTGTACATCAATAGGATAATTTATCTATCATTTATATTGACTACTCCCTGATATTTATGTACTTGTGCGTTTTAGAACTGCCTCGTTCCGTGTGCTTAGTGCGAGTTTTTTAACGTTCTCGATAGCGTAAAAGTTAGCTCTTAGTTGTATGGAATAGGATCGTTTGCGTACGTTTGCCGCTAGGGGCGCTGTTCCAACTGCATACAAAATTGGGTTAACTTTTACGCTATCGACAACGTTAAGAAACTCGCACTAAGCACTCTGTACACTCGCAGACATCGAACAACAATCATAACAAAATTGCTATCCTCCAATTTTAAATGTACATTCAAATTAAACTTTTACATTTGAATGAGGCCACTTTTATCTTTATTCACACAAATTTTACTTACATTCGTTTTATTTTTACAATCATTTTATTCATTTTATATAAGACAGTTCTATTCCGTCACAACACAAAGTAGGTCACATTACAAAAAAAAAACGACACCGGAAAATTAATTTATCCTCGAAAACAATGACAGCAGCTGTACAACGTGACAAACTACCAAGATCAAATCTAGGCTCCATTCTTAGAACGATACCTAACTCGTAAGGTAACAACAAGCGAGACGCAATGTATCATGTTTATATATTGAGTTGCACTTTAACGTTCAACAAGATTACTGTCCATTTACGGTACAAGATATGTCAATCACTGTCCGAAATTGCCTTCTTGCGACGTTTAGCTTGTTTCGGCTTCACAATCTCTTCTTCCTGTAAATAATTGAAAACGTAATTTCATTATGTACATAGCTGTCCCTAACTTAAATAAAGCTATGCTTCGAATTTGCACGAAAATAATACATTCGCAGGATTTTGCGGCAAATATTTGTATATGTATATGTATATGTACACGTTAAATAATGAGGCTTGTAATTGAAAATTGCTTCAAAACTTTAATGCTTGTTAAATATTTACCTCACTATCCTCATTCGAAGAATGCAAGTTCGCGTTGATTGGCATTGAATTCGAAACTAATTTCCTAGCACGTCTAGATATGGGTAATTCGTCTTCCCACGCCAAAGAAAATAATTCACTATATTGTCTCTGAAATTAACAGTGAAAATAAAAATAATTATAAAATAAAATAAAAAACGTATTCTGGTCCTAATTACCTACTACATAGAAAATTAAAAACATACATGTATAAGTATGACGCGTTAGCATAAATAGTTATGAATATACTTATTAAAATAATAGATCGAATTTTGAAGATATAAAATAAAAGAAATAAATAATAATTAGAGATCTTCTGATCATTGACCATGTTAATGTTAGACCTCACAAAATAAAAGTGGCAGTTTTGAGATACCTGTTTTACAGTACTTTATCTTATTTGGCGTATACATACAAAGATTATTAGAAGTCAGAATTAATGTATTTTTCCCATATACCACACACCTCTGAACAATAACTAATATTTAATGTAGTATCGTAACCACATTTTGCTATCGGTTATCGAATTTTGTCGTGCAGCTCAGAAAGTATGAACGGTAATTTAGTTGCTTAAATATTTTATATTAAATATGGCTGTGTAATTCATGGTAGATCCTAAATGTCGAAAGTGGAAATTTGTAATTGTAGTAGAATTACTGGTGGTAGGACCTCTTGTGAGTCCACAGGGGTAGGCAGGTACCACCACCCCGTCTATTTCTGCCGTGAAGCAGTAATGCGTTTCGGTTTGAAGGGCGGGGCAGCCGTTGTAGCTATACTGAGATCTTAGAACTTATATCTCAAGGTGGGTGGCGCATTTACGTTGTAGATGTCTAAGGGATCAAGTAATCACTTAACACCTGGTGGGCTGTGAGCTCGTCCACTCATCTAAGCAATAAAAAAAAGTTTTGTAGTTCAGTAAATTAACTACAATTAAAACTATCAAATAAAATTACAAACAAACGTTTTTATTATTTAAACTCAACCTTAGATAACACATAATTATTGGTCCATAAACCTGTGACATCTTCATCGCTGCATGATTAAATCTATTAGGTTTTTTTTCTCTCAAATCTTCTACACTAACTTTTTCAATCACACAGAGTTATACCATTGTATTTAATTATCTTTTTACTTTATTGCCTGAATGAAAACCTCATTTATAAATGTAGTTTATTTTTGAGATATTTCAACATGTTTTTTTATTTATATAATAAGAACAAAATCACACGACTGTACCGACGCGAGCGTGAGGTCATCAGTGCGGTGCGGCGAAGCGTTATTCCGGAAAAAACGTCAAGTAGACAGTCGATATTCTCAACAAGTACTTTAACCGACTTGATAAAAAAGGTGTTTAATTCTGGGTACATATTACACGTCAACGGTTTTTTTTTAAAATAAAATCAGCCATTGTGTACTCGTATGTGGGTGTTCTATTTCAAAGCCTTGCCCCAATAAAAGGTACTCGTATTTTACCATGATAATCGGTTACATTGTATATAGACCGTTACGATAACGACCTCAATGCTTACACTTGTAATTTTTTTGTTCACCGTGAACAATACCGTCATTATTTATTAATAAAACAATGAACTTCCTTACCCTTAAACTATCGCTACTATTCGATTGAGCTTGTTGTAGGGCCTTCTGCATACATTCCATGTTGAAAATCGACATGTCGTCTTGTTCAACGCAGCACATTCTCATCTGCTCCAAATGTTTGAGCACCTGTTAAATGATGAGACAAGCAATTAACAAACACACGAGATAAAGTTAAAGAGGTCGCTTCGTATTCTTTATTACAAGTGTGCGAACGGATATTTAGCGGGTATCAAACTTTTCTGAGGAATTACATATTTAACACGTGTTCGTGAACGTCTTCCACGATGCACGAATGATATCGTGTAATAATAATCAATTAATAATATCAAATAATAAATAAATGTAAAATAATAAATAAATATAAAATAAATGTAAAAATAAATAATCTTAATCTATATACATAAAAATAAATTGCTGTTCGTTAGTCTCGCTAAAACTCGAGAACGGCTGGGCCGATTTGGCTAATTTTGGTCTTGATTTATTTGTGGAAGTCCAGAGAAGGTTTAAAATGTAGATAAATATGAAAATGCTCGGAATTAAATAAAAATATCAATTTTGTTTTTCCTTTGATGTGCCCCCCGTCGGACGGATTCCTTTTGTTTGTTTTAAGTTTATTTTATACAAAACTAGGAAGTCGGCCGGGTCAATCAGTAATAAATATAAATGTAATTTATTTGCGTGTACCGGGTAAAAGGTATTATTTCGGTGGCTACCCACGAGTAAGGTACCAAACACCCAGTCTATTTCTGTCACGAAGCAGTCATGCGTTCTAATTTGAAATGAGAGACAGCCGTTATACAATTGAAACTTCGAACGTTATACCGCTTATTGGCTCCGGGAACAACCTATTATAATTGGTGGGCTGTGAGATCGTTCTCTCATAATAAAACCGAGCTCATAATAAACAAATATATAAAACAAATCTGATACAGCGAAATGTATGCACGGGATATTATTGAATATTCATTGCCGAACTAGGCGACGGGGCATCGCAAAGCCGTCGTCGCCTGAAATGTGTCTTGTCGGATCGTCAAGATTCACTCGCGGTGTTTTTAGGCTCTTAGATCACCCATCACCGTTCTCGTCGAATTCGTCTATTACGACGAGCGAATCAACCCATATATACAACCCACTGAGTTTCTCAATGGGTCGCGATTCCGATCCGGTAGTACATTCAGCGAAGCACTGATTTTGCCAACGATTAGGTAGGGAAAAAAAGCACAATGGCTGCTCAAACCGAAAAGCATTACTGCTTCTCGCCAGAAATAGGAAGGGCGGTGGTACCTACGCGTGTAGGCTCACAAGACGCCTTAGTAATACTTTTCAAAATACCGAAGTAATACTTTTCAAATTTAATTGAAAAATTCTAATCTGATTTTTTTTTTTCGAGTTACAAATTTTTATCTTTAAAAGCCACTGCGATAAAAATAGTTAAATACTATATTTACAGCAAATAGGGCTTCAGAATTTGCTTTTTAAAAGGTGGATTAAAGGTATTATTTGTTTGGGATTAAGTCGACAACTAGGGGTACAACGACATAATATGACGATTTCTATCAGTGAAACTCAATCAGAAAAAAATACACTCGTAATATAGTGTTGTCACGAGAAAAAAAAGTTACTATAAATTTTTTTTATTGAAGACATATTTTTTGATACATACCAACTCTGCAGACGGCGGTGCGTTTGGTGGCATGCTGTATTTCCCTGGACGTTTTCGCTTGTTCGGACTAGTACCCGGATAGCGCGTACTCAACAATGCCGCGACTAAATCACCGACTTTATCTTCGTAATCTTGGCACCAATACATCAACGTTGAGACCACCGATGTATCCTCCTCGTCGTATGTTCTACAGAACAACTGTCTTACGACATCGGCGGTCGGTCTTTCCTGCTTCAACATTAAAAGAACGGACGTGAGCGCCTCCGAATGCTCTTTGAATGATAACTTCGGAATGATCGGTAAAACATCCTCAACGGATATGTCGTGTGCGGTTAAAAGTTGCCACAGACAATACTGTTCGAACGTCTCCCATCCAAGGCTGGTCGACAACATTGTCGTGATATCGTCCGATTTGAACATCATTAAATTTCCTTGTAATGTCAAACAGATTAGTCTTTGAAGTTGACACGCATCTAGGGTTGATACGATTGCATGCAATAATCTTATATGATTCTGTGCTTGGTCTTTGAACTCTCTATAAACATCTGGTATTAACCAAACTAAAACATTGGTGTCGTATTCTTGGCACCTTTCGAAATCGTCCGCTAAGCTCTCGGCTAATTTTAATTCTAAATAACTACAGTAGTCCTTATAAACGTCAGCTTTGAATTTCACGTTACGTCTTTTCGCCGAATCTCGTTCTGAACGACGATCTCTTTCGTAGCAGACTCTTAAATAAAACAGTAGGCTAAATCCGACACATCTCAGAGAACCTTGACTGTGGATTTCTTTGAACGTTTCTAATACCAGTTTCCGTTTATGTTCAGCTCCACTACTCGAGTCTATTAGATAATTGAACATGGAAAAAAGCGGTGAATTTATTGCATTATCTAATTCGGCTGGAGCGGGATTGTTGCTTATACGTAGAGGTGTTGCTTCTTGAACCGCAGCAGCAAAAAGATCTGCGAGAGCTTTCGGCGTTGGCGATGGAGATCCGCATGCATCAAGCAAAGCAGTTGCGGAAGATGATGTTCGCTCATCCAGAAGCGTTTCTGCTAGTGGTCGCAAAACTAACGGCAGTGCAGCAGCTAGTTCAGGTCTTTCTCTGGCACGAACTTCTGATAAAGGTAAATCATCATCATCAGTATCTTCTGCTATAGTTGGTGTAATGGTCTCTTCTTCATCATCCGAGAATGCTGGTTCATCGGACCCAACTCTTGGTATTGCATCATCAGTACCCTCATCGCGTATGCCAGATACACCTTCACCATTTCCATTCGTACAAAATTCTTTAAAGGTTTCTCTTACAGTAGAACGCAATTCTCGGTCCAACTTTTGAGAGTCAAACAGAGGATGCAAATTTGGCAAAACCCTTTTCTCAATTATTTGTTGAAGGGAATTGAATATTCCTTGTCTAACTTTCTCTGCATATGGTGGGTAGAAGTTTGGAATGATTCGACACAAGAAATCTAATAATGTTGCAGTCACTGCTGGATGTGATCTCATTGAATGGTGCATAACAAGGATGGCAGGTTCTATATTCATAATGTTGTCTTTTTCAGGGTCATAAAAAAGCCAATCATAAAACAGGGCCAATTTAGCATTTGATGCAGCTACATTTGACGTACAAGTTGTAAGGAGCCAACCAATCACTGCCCATCTGGGAATTATATCAGAACAGAGAAGTTCATTAGTGGGATGAATTACTCCAACAATAAACCTTATCATATCACTTCTTAGTGATTGTGACTCTGGTGTGGCAAGATATTGTCTCTGGAACCATTCTTGATACTTTTTGTGGTGACCGAACCGAACTTGTGAAGTTAGAAAAACTAATTTCCTTTCCATGTCCGGAGTTAATCTTGACTGAAGATACCTTCTAGATGTTCGTGTTTGTAACAATTGTAGCACATTGGTAAATGTAGGGCTTAATGATTTGGGATTGACCAAGATATCCTGCCAAAGCTGATTGAACTCTGGTATGCGAGCAACATTTTGAAGCAGTCTTACTAAGTCTCTTCCCAAAGATAAGACATCAGTAAAACGTTCCCTTATGAGAGTGATAACAAAGTTAACTTCTTTCTGTCTTAGGTTCATTAACTGGGGTATATTATGGTCTTCTACAAGCCTTAAGTATGTATACACAACCATGCATATAAGTACAGGGAACTTATCCAACCAACCTCTATGTTCAATAAACATGTCCAACAGAGATTCTACTAATATAATATTTTTGGGTGTTATATCGCCTCCGGATGCGTATCGCATTAAATTCCAACAAACATTATCTATTCCTGTAACTGCATTTCTAATCATCTCTTTTATTAGCCACATTAATTGGTTCCTTGTAGTGTCCGAAAACTTTAAGTACCTTTCTAAAATTAAATTGGATAGATTATTAAGCACACACGTTAGTCCATCTCTGGTTATAAGTGTAAGATCTCTGTAACATTTTGTAGCATTCTGCGGTTCTGTAAGTATAGACATGAGCATGCCAACTGAAACTTCCTCATGATTTTTACAGACTGCGTTATTAAGGGCGTCATGTGCTTCTTTTTCGGTGCAGTCCGCTACAAGAGATTGAAAATAGTTGTAAGCCCTTTCGTACCTCTGAAAAGGAAAAAAAGTATTATGATAACAAGTGGAACTAATTTCGTGTTAACTTGAAATTTCGCGCTAATTGCACATCAGCGCCACCAGTGTCAATAATGAAAGTTATGGCTTTACATGGCCGACTTAACGTTTCTTTGTTGAAAATACGAAATTTTAAAAAGTACCTCTTCCACTTCATCCTTATTTTCTATTGCGGTGCTCACAAATAGTTTGGGTGAATTAGATTTGGCCTGCTCCATAATATGTGAATTTAAAAACTAATTATTTTGTCAAAAACGTAGCACAGATTGTCTCCTGCATGGCTATCGTAGGCGAAAAATGTTTATGAAGCAATACAATCAAACATATCAATGTGTGCGTATACAAGTGACAGCCATCGAAGTAAGAGAAATAACCGAGAGAGTGCGCTAGTTTACTACTTGCCTAAATAGAGAGGTGGTACTTTTGGATTACTAAGCTCTATGGGTAAAACTGGAACGTGACCATTAACAAAAATATATAACTAGAGATAGAATCGANAGGCGAAAAATGTTTATGAAGCAATACAATCAAACATATCAATGTGTGCGTATACAAGTGACAGCCATCGAAGTAAGAGAAATAACCGAGAGAGTGCGCTAGTTTACTACTTGCCTAAATAGAGAGGTGGTACTTTTGGATTACTAAGCTCTATGGGTAAAACTGGAACGTGACCATTAACAAAAATATATAACTAGAGATAGAATCGACATGAATCACTGAAATAATATTTATCGGAGCCAAACAAACTCATAAAAGTTCTACCGATATATTTTATGCTGTAGCCTATTAACATAGAATACTTGAAGACTTTAAAATTAAATAACTATTTATTGGTGTAAAAACTGAAATATGTCCACTTCACGGCATATTTAGGCACGATGATGATAGGTATGATGATAAAATAATTTGATGATATATATACTCGTGCGGGCTTATAATATGCCCTACCACCAGTAATCAAATTGCATGCTCTTTTTATAAGCGGTCAGAAACATTATACCATAGTCCACAGGACGTTCACAGCTTGCAAATGACGTTGAGGATTGTTCTGGTGAAAATATTGCTACTACGGAATATTACTACACAGTAGCTCTTGGAGGTTAGGGTCGATATTTTTGTCATTTTAATGATGAATGAATAGTCAGATAATCTATTATGTACTATTCAGATTTTAAAAACCGTAGCTGTAGTTTTGATTACTGAGTAACGCTTGTGGTTTGCAGCATTTTACTTTTACCATAAATAAAATCTAAAGATCGTTAAAACTTCTGTGCGCAATATGGCTAAAATACTGTAGAATTCGATTGCCTTTATTGAGTTTACATTAAACTGTGACAAGTCTCTAAAAAATTGTAAGTTTTAGTTTCGTATTATTGTTAATTTCGCATTTAGTTTCGTATTAATGTAAACTACATGCATTAACAATCATTTTTCATTCGGATGCAATATTAATTGGCATGCGTTTGTGCAAATAGTTCCACAAACTAAAAAGTTTTCCTTGCATACTATTTTCCTATCGCCTGTTATGTGTAATGCTAGTGACATCTGTATCGTGCCGAGCCAAAATTTAAAAGAAGAAGAAGAAGAAGACATCTGTATCAAGCTTGGCAGGCCATCTTTGCTACGTATTTGATAGTACGGTACTTAATAAGTATATTAAGTCTCGAATCTCTTCAGTTCGTTTTGTAACGGTGAAGAAAATATCATTTTAATCGTTTAGTTAACGCTTCTAACCGAACACGATTCACGATAACCGAACACGCAATAAATCGATAAATCGTAATGTTTTAGACACATGGTATTTTCTATGTTTAAGAGCTAAACTAAATTATGTACTAGAGAGTGAGTGAGATTGAAGCAATTATTTTTTTGAGGAACTGCAACGTGTTTTATTCTTTATGAAATAGAAATGAAATGTGGTGAAACCACGGGGCATGTCGTTTGGCTGTAAAAGAGGGTTGTTTCCCCATATTTGAATAAAAGTGCGGGTTTTACTCTTGTTTTTTTAAGAAGAAGATAGATAATTTGGTACGAAAGCCTTTCCAGCTTCGCTTGTGCGGTTGGAAGAGCACGGGCTCAGAAAGGAAGTCAAGATAGGTACTTCAATTTAAAGAAAACCTATTGGTGTATATCGATTTAAATAATCGTTGTATTGTCAACCTTAATGCTTGCTATCCCTACTCAATTTCAAGGTGCATCGTGTTTTGACTATACCTACATAAATTCCAAAATTTCTTTGGTTTGTAATTTTGTAGCTACAAATCTTACAACAGCTAGATACAACTACCACTGTAAATAGTACTTTTCACTCTGAACAAGTATAAATTCCGCGTGAGTTCCTACATAAATTATCATGTGATTGCTGTTTACGGCAATACCTAACTTAAATTATATCAGCTTATAATTCGTGAAATTTTTAGCCGGTGGCACCAACGTTGTGCTAATCTTTACGGTGTACAATTTGTGTACTTTTCTAAGAGTTATTGATTAATTTCGTAGTTTTAGTGACATGGATCTTCAGAAAGAAAAAGAACGCGACCGCTCGAGACGCGGTGATAGGCCATCGAGGTTCTCAGACGCCAACAGAGACCGGTCGTCTGACCGAGATCGCACCGAGAGCAGGCGCTTATTTGTATCAAACATACCATACGAATTTCGTTGGACGGAACTGAAAGATTTGTTCAAAGAGAAAGTATGAAATGGTTAAAAATATCTAATTGACCAATGCTTGATTTGTGTCTATTTGTGTAACCGGATATAAGAAGCTTAAGGTCGGATTTACTTATTGTTAAATTGTATACATGTTGATTTTTGTTTATAATTTCACTTAAAGAAAAATATGACATTACAACCAATCATAATTAGAAATGTTTGACTTGAAAGAAATGTTTGACTTGAAAAGTTCAATCATGGAAATCTGACCTTATGCTTAATATTGTGTTAAGCAGGATGTGGATATTGGCTTTGTAGATTTATTAAGGAATTATATACTAAATTTGTTTCTTATAAAAAACTACTTTTACGGTTTTAAATTCTTTGATGACAACCAGAAATATAGAAATAAATAATAATCAGGCACCATCTTGCCTTGTCACAAATCAATTGCATGCTTTTAAGGGCAGGACAGCTATTGTACAATACAACTGAGACTTCAATATCATGTCTTGAAGTGAAAAGCAGCATTTGCATCTAGATGTATGCAGCCTATCCTAACTGCTTAACATTATGTATGACAATTATACAATTGTTGCAAATTAACGATTTGATTTGATAAATTTAATGGAAATTCTCATAGTTATTTTACTAAAAGTTTTATTGAGATTGGTCTATTAATTTTAGTATGATGCTAGTAGTTACAAAAGTATGAAAAATAGGAGTGACAAAAATGTATATAGATGGTGATTTAAAGTTTGCTCAGTCTGAATATTTTATTCTAATACTTTGTCAAATGTTAATGTACTTCTCTTCTGTTTTATAACAGTAGATTAAAAAAAAATATATATGTAAGTTTAAAGTACCAAATGATTTTAAACAAATTTAATAATTACCAACCTAAGAAAAAACAGCAATTAATTCCATAAGAAGATTTAAATAACCAAGTTTGATGATAATTATTAAAATATTTGTGTAGGTTGGAGATGTGGCTTATGTAGAATTGTTGACCGATGACAGTGGAAAAGCAAGAGGATGTGGTATTGTTGAATTTACAAACACAGAGGCAATGAAGAAGGCACTATTTGTGATGCATCGGTATGAGTTGAATGGACGAAAACTTGTTCTAAAAGAAGAAACTGGTAATTATTTGTATTTTTTTTTATTATGTAATTTATACCTATGTGTATATAATTTAAGCTATATATTTAAGTTGGCAATAATGTGCTTCTGTTTAATTGAATTGCTATTATGATTGCTCCATATAAACCAGTTTTATAATAGAAAAACAGTTATTTGACTAAATTATGGAAACATGACTTTTCATTTTCCTTATTAATAATTATATTGAAATTTGTAGCTAATATGTTGAGCAAATTAGTCTGTAATTTTAATAGTGTGTTCAGCATTATAGTTGATATGTCATCTATTTCAGCATGTAAGCCTGAAACTTGAATGCTATTTGCATTTAGAAAATTACTAGGGCACTGCTGGCCTATAGTAGATTTTGTTAAATAAATCAGAATAATTGATACATACTTTGCATTTTTAGGAAATGAAAGAAGAATGCACACTTCTAGACCACAACATAGAGAAGGGAGAAATAATAGAGATGACAAAGACAAGTGAGTGCTATATTTTTGGGTAATTAGTAAATTCAAAATCTATAATCTTCAGTAATTAAATTAAGTAAAAGAAATAAAAAATATTAAACACATATTATCCGTTTTAAAAAGTAGAAATACTGTCTAAAGGGGTATTTGTTTCTAGTTGGGGAATTAATAAGCCAAGAGAACCAGAGAATTTAAACACATATGGATTAAGTTTACAATTCTTGGAATCTATCAATGTTCAACCTCCTTTAGTGAAGAAAGTGTTTGTGGCAAATGTAAGTTTTTTATCAACCTTTGCTTTCAATCAAGTAGCTTAAGTACATCCTTCACTCATGCAATTAACATTGCCTCTGTTTGCTAACATATTAGCAATTGTGATTATGTACTTATACACATAATGTACACAATGTTGAAAACATAAACATTCTGAGCTTTGAACCTTCAACCTACTGTGTGAATGCCTGGAACAGTTGGGTCAGTTTTAATGTACCCTTCTTGTCTTTATTACTTGCGGAACATGTTTGTAAACAAATTGCTAAATGTTACATATGTTTTTTTTATTGTTGTTGTTATTTGTAATATTTCAGCTGGATTACAAAGCTGACCAAGCCAAAATTAAGGAGGTATTTAAAATGGCTGGTAAAGTACGTAACATTGATTTGGCTGTTGATAAAGATGGTAATAGTAGAGGATTTGCTGTCATTGAGTACGACCACCCAGTTGAAGCAGTACAGGTAATAATTAAATAAAAATAATAAAACAAATTAATGTATAGATAAATTTAAAGATAAATTAAAATTTCACTTTGTTTTAGGCTATTTCAATGTTTGATAAACAAATGTTGTATGAACGAAGAATGACAGTACGTATGGACAGAGGAGTAACAGACAAGGGAGAACTTAGGTTACCTGAAGGCTTAAAAGGAATCGGCATGGGACTAGGACCGAATGGCGAGCCTTTACGTGACGTAGCTAGAAATTTACCACAGGCTAACAACACAACTAACATGAACTTGGCCAATACAGCACCTACTATAGGTGCTGGAGTTTTGGGTGCAGTTCCAACAGCAGCTGGTGTTGCATTGAATGGTTTAGGATCTGGATTGTCTGCGAATGCTTTGAATGCCAACAGTGCTCTTGGTGGAGGCTTAGGCCTACAGGTGAGAATAAAATATAATTTATAATGTACAGAAATAAAACAGAATTAAATTTTTTTAGAGTCTTGATAGACATCACATCTATATGTACTTTGTATTCTTCTATATTTTTTGCATTAATTAGGAACTAAACTCATAGCCCACCTGGCGTTAAGTTACTGGAACCTAGATATCATAAAGCTGCCATCTGTTTTGATATATGAGGTTAAAATTTCATTTGTATTTTATAATAACTTTTTCACTCTTCAAACTAAAGATTTTCGTGATTGCTTCGTGTCAGAAATAGATAAGACGGTGATATTTACACGTTTGGAATAACAACAGGCTTTACCACTGCCTTAAAATTCAAGTTTTCTTTGTATAAAAAACCTGAAGTTTTGAAAAAGTATGTGTTTTCAGGCATTGGGATTGACTGGCTTAGGCGCACTCCAAAACCAGTTACTCCAACAAGGTTTGACAGCTAATGATTTAGCAACAGTTCTAACAGCACAGGCAAATGTGAACCAAGCAGCTAGTTTGGGGATCGGAAACAATGAAATGAATTCTAATGTTCTTACCTCTGGAGTTATGGGTGGCAATCAGATGAATTCTGGACCTCTTTCGAACATTTCAGGTTTGTCTTGATCAGCATCATTACAGGTTCTTACTCATCTTTGTTTAAAAAATGTTTATGTGGTATTAATGTTCACACCGTATTAATATTAATGGTACTAAAAAAGTTTTTAAAAAGTTTTTAAAAGTTTAAAAAAGTTTAGTAAAAAAAAAAGATAAATTATTTAAGTTTTGTTATTTATAAAGGTACAAGCAGACCGTTGGGTGTTTCAGTACCGAACCAGGGATATGGCCGCGATACTGGAGTCCAACAATCCACTAGGGACAAACCATCAGACATGGTCATAATTACCAATGTAAGCTAAATTCTTATGATATTATTATTAGGATAATTTCAATCACGAAAAATTAAAAACAAATGATTTGAAATAATAGTTCGTAAGTAGAGTTTCACAATATATTTATTGGTTTTTGTTGAAGTATTTTTGACATTATTTTTTAAGTGGTATAAATGAGTGATAATTTTTGCATGATTTTATCTTTAGATATTATGTGAATATAAAGAACAAGAAAGTAGTATGGTTAATCTAAAATAAGGTTTGGATTTTTTTTTAGTTACCACAGACAGTGACTTGGCAATTGATTAGAGAGAAGTTCAGTGAATGTGGCGATGTTAAGTTCGCTGAAATGACTGCTCCAGATACGGCCATCGTTCGATTCCACAAGGAATGGGATGCGGAGAGAGCTATAAGTATCCTTTACAAATATAATAATATACGTAATGGTTTTTGAAATCAGGTTTGTGCCGCTAGGTATATTTTTTTTAATTATTTTTTTATTGCTTATGTCTGTGGACGAGCTCACAGCCCGCCTGGTTTTAAGTGGTTACTGGCGCCCATAGACATCTACGACGTAAATGCGCCACCCACCTTGAGATAAGTTCTAAGGTCTTAAATATAGTTACAACGGCTGTCCCACCCCTCAAACCGAAACGCATTACTGCTTCACGGCAGAAATAGGCGGGGTGGTGATACCCACCCGCACGGACTCTCAATAGGTCCTACCACCAGTAGGTATGTAAGAAATCATATTTACAAATATACTGAGAGCTCTATTAAATTTAAAAAATTTTCAAAGATGAAGTCTGAATATGTTATTATAGATTATATTTTAGAAAAGCACAAGGAATCTCGAACATGTCGATCGCGTTCCAGTTTGTCTAATATTCAGCCAGTTCACAGCCCTCAAGTGATGTCTGTCTCCTGTCAGTCATGGATTTATTGTCTATAGTCTATTGGTGTTAAGTGGTTACCGGAGTCAAAGGAAATCGCAACTTGACCGTCGCCACTCACCTTGAAGCGTGAGAGCTTATTACTGGTGGTAGGACCTCTTGTGAGTCCGCACGGGTAGGTACAACCGGCCTGCCTATTTCTGTCGTGAAGCAGTAATGCGCTTCGGTTCGAAGGGTGGGGCAGCCGTTGTAACTATACTTGAGACCTTAGAACTTATCTCAAGGTGGGTGGCGGCATTTACGTTGTAGGTTTCTATGGGTTCCAGTAACCACTTAAAACCAGGTAGGCTGTGAGAGTTCGTCCACCCAACTAAGCAATAAAAAAAAAATCTCAATTGTATACTATAACAACGGCTGTCTCGTCCTTCACACTTTCGCGGCAGAAATAGCATGGCTAGCTAGCAAAATTCGACAATAATTATTAACAACAATAAGATCCAGATTCCATTAACTTAGAATTTTTTAAAAATAAAAAAATATTGCTGTCTACAATATTATAACTCAATTTTCCTTGACCGGTATCTTCAGAAATGTTCGACAGGACTCGTATCGACGGCCGCACAATCGATGTGCGCTACTTTTAAACGCTAAGGTAAGTGTCTATATAAAAAATAGTTTTGTCTGTCGTCTCCGTGCATGGGCGTCGCGTCTTTGGAATCGATTTGTCATCCGATTGTTCGAATACAATGCGATATTTCGAAAACGATCATTCGAAATTCGTTCGTCTCGTAGTGTATTGGAATTTCTTTTATTGTAACATTAATTATTTCGCTTATTAAGTGAAGATAAAATTCGACTAAAATGTTGGTAGGAATAAAATGTCTAGTGAAATTGTAAATTTTTGTGTTTACAGGAGAAAGTGGTTCAAGTCGTTCTCTTGTGGGGGTTTGTATGCAATCGGCTGCCCGGATAATGCGCTGTTTTAATCCACGTCGTAGTGTCTCGTGATAAAGTGTCCAATATCTTTCAAATGATGTTTATCCTTTGACAATCTTTATTAACTTTTAGGTTTAATCTTAGTGTAAGCTTCGTAATTTTTGCTGTACCATTTGATGAGAGAATTCAATAAAATAAAATAACATTATAGGATGTAGTTTATTGTTGTCTTTAATGTAGTTATTTTATTAGCGGAGTTTGTGAAAAAAGTGTTTATTAACATCCTCGGACTTGTAATTTATTCGTGGTGTCGTTTTGGTCAAAATAGACTGGGACTTATGGTCACAACCGTCGAGTTTTTATTAGAGTCGCGTTATTATAAATCAATTGGAATACAGCGGAAAAGTGATTAATTGCGAAACGTATATCTGTGATGTTGTTGGTGAAATCGCATACCTACCTAAATTGGGTTACTGGTCATCGGAAGAATTAATGCGATTCGTTTCCCAATTGAATGAACTGTAGTGAACTGTGTTTAAGATACTGCTAGTGAAATAAACAAAAGGACGCGCCATTAACGGCTGATCTAAGTGATTCTGCGAATCGGCTAGTTCGTGTCTCGAGGGTGGCTGAACGAATGGTTTCCTTAGAGTATCGTTTGTTGACAATAAAAATCCAATTATAAAAGAAATCATCGGCAAATGGAATGAGTTGTTAGTGGAGTAATAATTACAACGAAATGCGAACCTAAATATTATTATTAGCCGATTATGTTTCAAGATTTCGTTACAAAATGTTATTATGAAGATTTATCGTTTTGGCTTGGCAATGCGGAAGTTAATTTCGGCGTGGTTTGTGTCTTATTTGGTAAGTGTTGTGATCGAATAAGGTATTTCATTTTTTGTTGGGCTTGCATGGGGTTTTTCTATAGATCTTTTGTGCTTGATGTTATCTCGAGTTACATCTCGTTTATCATGCATAGAGTGATTTGTATTTTCCTTAGATCGTTGATTATGTTAACAGTGTTTTCAACAGACGAGAAATCTACGAATTCCAACGTTTGAAGCGATGAAATTCTGTGGATGTGTGTGTAATCTGGCCGCGTCTGTACTTTCGGCGGGAGGATTTGTCGGGTCGGTTGGTATGTTTTGAAAATTGAGTCGCCTCACATTCCGACAGCCCCGTTCAAAGACTGGCACTCGATTCTATTAAAGTTCTTTCATTTTAAAGTACTAATTGCTTTTTTTTGGTTTGATGAAATTATGTATTTCGTAATGACCAGACGGATTTCTCGTGTCTTTTTCAAAGGAAAATGGGCGTTGATCATGCAATTCATTACTGCCGTTAATTATTGAGCTGTAACTTTATCTTATAATACTCTCGCGTATTTCAGGTAACGTTAATCTGAAAGGAAATATAATTGTGAAAGACTTAAACGCATAGTCTTCGTATGGAAACTGTGAATTATATATGGTATGTTCGTAATTCGGTTTTGACTTTATTTATCGATAATTGAATATACCCGAATAAATACCTACTTTATTTTTTTTCAGTGCGTTTGTAATTAGTCGATTGATTTTTTTTTCTGGAAGTGTGAGAAGAGAAGGAGAGAAGAGAGTTTGAGCCTAATTAGAGTTCCAGAAAACATGAGGTTGGTTCATCGTATTTTTTTAAAGTTACACATTTGTATATTGTTTGCTGTTTAAGAGGTTTTAATGGAAAGAAAAATTGAAAGCGTTGTTTTAAGAAAAATACCCAAATCGATCGCAAACAAATTTATTGATATTTTAGATAAATTACAATATTATTATAATAGCTAAATTAATAATGATATCACTGATATGTAAAACTGTGTAAAGAAAAAATGCTTACCTGATCGAAACTGCAAAAACGTTATCAAATAATAATAATCTTATTTCAGAACGAGAAAAGAAAAAGTGTGCAAATAAATTATGTATTGAAAAACCTGTGATACGTGAAGCTTTAATAAAATAAATATTTTTTTATCTACTTAAGTTTTTTATTGTTCACTTTCTGTGCATCCGCCGTCTTAGCATTTCTACAGGCCTGCGCTATGTTCGCTATTTCGTAGATTGGGAGTCTTATGGCCGTCAGCATCAGTTCCATTATAGATATAAATGAAGTGCCGATACACAAGTTCACGATACCGCCACTCCGTACTAAAATGTTAAAACAGTTCGATTAAGGCTCAGAAGTACTTATTTCCTCATAAGCGTGGAGTTTATCAGTTCGATTGAGGCTCAGAAGTACTTATTTCCTCATAAGCGTGGAGTTTATCAGTTCGATTGAGGCTCAGAAGTACTTATTTCCTCATAAGCGTGGAGTTTATCAGTTCGATTGAGGCTCAGAAGTACTTATTTCCACATAAGCGTGGAGATTATTTATAATCATAATCTATTCTTTTCATTATTATTATACATTTTGGCTAACGTGACTGTTGACTATATCTCTACATAACTATCAATGAAATTGCTTTAATATATTTATGTATAATATATGTAAAAAGTGAATTATCCCTAAAACCATGCGATTTTTTGAATACTTAAGTTTAATCGGCTAGCTTACTAACATTTACAACTACAAAGTACAAAGTAGTATTTAATTTTCCATACTCTGTCTTGAGAATTCCTTGCAATATTTTGTTATTTTTTCTAGGGATATATCTACAGTTCTTTTTCTTGATTGTTATTGTATTATATAATAGTAATATAAAATTAATGTTTTGTCTCAAAAACAGAGACATTGATTTGAGGATAATAAGCTTTAACGAGACTTGAAGTTATGATATAGATAAAAAAGAAATAATTTTATTAAGAAATAAGAGATGCTTGTTTTAAATCTACTTATTCAAAAAGTATAATCTGCAGTTGAGCACGCATTATGCTAAAACGAATAGATAGGAAGCCATTAATAAGAAAAAATAGGTATTATATTTTTAAATAAGATGGGAGTGGTACCGAATATTGATAAAAAAAAAAATTGTTTATGGAACGATTATCGACCCTCAAGAATCTTATGACCGCATAGGTACTGATTGACGTTTTATTATCTGAATTTATTAATATTAATATTCTGTGGTTTCGGTTCGACTTTCAAAATGGACACAGGAACTGTATTCTTGAGGTAAAATTAATTAAATAACAAATATATTTCTAGGATTGTATTACCGGAAAAAAATACGCCAAACCTACTCACGTATAATGTCATAAGTACTGAACATAATTTCCCTCATAAATCTCACTTTCGGAAAGGACGTGACACTGATCCTTAATCTGTTCAATGACTCTTGAGGCAAAAGTGACGCGGGATCTTGCTGGTAGACGTCGGCTTCGCAATCACCTAAACATCCACAGTCGCGTGACGTTCTCGGTAAATCGGTATAATCGTTAAACCTTTGCAATGTTTCGTTTGAAGCTGTTAGAGTGGTGATCTCTCTTTTGTAAAGAACAATGCATCTCAGTTCAGGTAGGCTGCATATTCTTTCGTTTTCTGTTGAGATGAAATTAGTTAAACCTCGATACGTTGAAAATTATGTAGCTTACAAACTTTATTGCAGTAGATAACTAAATTAGTTGTGGTAACGTGAATGTTGTCACTAACAATGCGACAGAAGTCGATTCGATTAAAATCTCATTTATATAATACTAGCGACCCGCCCTCGCTTCGTTCCGGAAACTGTAATTTATTATTGATTTCTCCATTATTTAATGAATGTTATTATACATATAAACCTTCCTCTTCAATCACTCTATCAATTAAAAAAAACCGCATCAAAATCCGTTGCATAGTTTTAAAGATTTAAGCATACATAGGGATTTAGGGACAGAGAAAGCGACTTTGTTTTATACTAGGTAATGATAATATACAACCTACTCTGCAAAGCGAAAAGTATCACTGCTCTCTGGTGGAAATGGGTAACATTTACAGGATACCAAATCGTGTTTTCTCTCCCAACGCCTTGCTATTAGATGAATTAAAACTCACCTATTTTTTTATAGAAATGTGGGACGCAGCCGCACAACCTTGTAATCATTTTAATTCTACATTCTATTATGCAACGATTGTAAGAATATACCGCATATCTGTTACTGTGTGGCTCGTCTGTGAACCTAAAATACAAATATAGTATTGCTAATCAGAGTTCAACATTAAACGGTGCATTTCAGTGAATACTATTATCTTCTGGTAGGATAGCTCTTTCTTATTTAATTCTAACGTGTCGCTTTTATATTTAGCAAAATACCCTCTCGGTGAAATATCGACTTCTTGTAGCTTATTTCTATAGTTCGTAATTTATATGTGTTCGCGCGTATTAAACCGAATTAAGTTGAAACTTTGTACAATTGTTGGCACTTCAGGTAATGTATCTGTCATAATACCATGAACATATAACAGAGACACCCGAGTAGCTTAAAAAATTGCGTATAACCTAACCTTTATCGGTAGTCGAGGACGAGGAGGAAGGTTTTTCTACATCAGATACAAAGTCGTTGAGAAAGTTTACTGAAGTACTTTTTTTTATGATTGAAAGATTACTGGTGGCCCGGAGGCCTTTCCAGATTCACCAGGACAGGTGGGCGAGCAAAGGCTCAGCCAGGAGGGGTGGGATTCGCTAACAACGGCCCGAGCGCCTCCGAAGGAGACCTAACAACTCAAGAGCAATTGCTTCGCGAATGAATCTACTACCGGATCGGAATCGCGACCCACTGAGAAGATCCGGCGAGAAACTCAGCGGGCTGATGCATGGGTTAGGTTGCACGTCGACCTCTGTCGAGTTCGACGAGTACGGTTACCGGGGTTCCTCAGCCTGCTCCTAGTGTTAGAGCAGAAGGTATCTAATGCAAGAGTTATTGGATCTGATGGATCCGTAAGGACGTGTCTAGGGCGACGACGGTGACTTGCTCCTGCGTGATCAGGATTCGGGGAGTAATCAGCGGCGGCAACGATAAGGCGATTATTATGACGCATAGCCTTATCGAAGTATCGTTCCGACACTGACTTCATGTGTTTGCGGATCGATTCGAGGCCCAGGTCGTCGTGTAGGTCGACGTTCCTCACGAACCACGGAGCCCCGACGGCTAACCTGCAAAAGCGGGATTGTAGAGATTGGAGGGTGTCTATGTGTGTGCGGGCCGCGTGAGCGAACACCACACTCGCGTAAGTCATGACGGGCCTTATGCAAGTTTTGTAAAGTGTCACCTTCTTCCGAAGGGACATTTTACTCCGCTTACAGATCATGGGATAGTGAAGTACCTATGATAGATGTTTAATTTCACTTCGTTTATGATTTTTCCAAGAAATGAAAAAGTTGAAATGCAGACTTTAAACTACAACCTCCATCTTATCTAATACCTTTAAACGAGCAATTCTTGTATATTAATATAGACTAGAGGTCCCGCAGTAGTCGAAATTCGACTATAATTAATTGGAATTGTAAGTTTGTACACTATTATGATTGTATTTTCAACGCCAAGACTACACTTTAGAAAAATATTAATAAAGACAAACAATATTTAATCTATTCTCAATTTGACCACAGACGACAAGAACAAAAGTTTGACAATAAATAAATAGTATGCATGCGTGTGTGTCAAATACCTACATGGTAGTGTGTGTAATGTTTTCTTTATTGATTTAATGTACCTTTTATGCATTATTTAAAAAAAATAGCATTGTGCACTTCTCTATATTCTCTTATAAGTGTGGAAAATTTCATACTCCTCCGTCCGCGCAATTTTCGTAAAAAGGGATACAAAGTTTTTGCTTCACGTATTAATATATAGATGTATATAATCTGAATCTCGGAAACGGCTCCAACGATTTTCCGGGATTTCGGGGGCGATAAATCGATCTAGCTACGATTAATTTTCAGAAAATGTTGTTTTAATCGTGTTTGTAATAATCAACTCTTCCCGACATCTATTGGCGAATAATAATACTGTTTTTCTTAATTGAGGGCAACTAACCGCTTTAAAGACACAACAAGATGGCGTTATAAAAAAAAACTCACTAGTCATCATCTTGTAATAAGTTAAGAACGGTAAAATTATTGTGTTTTGAAGAATATTAAGAAGTAACATAGTTCAAGAAATAACCCAACAAAATACAATTTCATGTAAGAAGCTTAGGATTGAAAATAACCAAAGTTCACCTGCATTTTCGAAGGTGCAAAGGTACATTTCTCAGTTCGTTTGATGCTCTTGTACTAGTTATTTGGACACCAAAAGATAAAAAGCCTTCAAGTTCAAACTTCAATGAAGATGCTTCGCTCATAATCACATCGTCGGGGCTCGTGGTATAGATCTGAAGACAATATATGAAAATTACATGTTTTTACGTAGTACAAGGTGTCCAGAAAGGGTAACGGGTATTTGTTTTTGTGCATTATTCGAAACGGGGCGACGAAAGGGAGCGGGGAGGGGTTCGTGGCGTCCGCCATTTTGTGAAGTTTTAGTCATGACGGAACACTACTCGGGGAGCAAGATGGGGCCACTTGCCATACCTCAAATGACTCCGTGGAAGTTGTTAACCAATTATTCCCTAATAAAGTTATTTCGCGAAGGGGTAACATCAACTGGCCTCCCAGAAGCCCCGACCTTAGCCAGCTTGACTATTTTGCATGGGGATACCTTAAAAGTAAGGTTTATCAAAATAATCCGACAAACCTAATCCAATTGAAGCAAAACATCAGGTCAGAAATGGCAGCAATATCGAGAGCTATGTGTCAACGTGTTATCGCCTATTTTCGTTCCCGTTTAGAACAGTGCCAGCAATGTAAAGGTCATCATTAGGATAACATCATCTTTTCGAAATAATTTTCCAATTGCTAAACGCTAAGAATAAACAATATTTTTTTATTACTTACAGATAATTTTTGTTTTATAGAACTTACTTACAAATACCCGATACCCTTTCTGGACACCCTGTATAAGTAATTAGAAAAATCATTTACGTTCATAAAAGATTAAGCAGAAAACCGTCAGCAAATTAATGTCTTGTTTACAATCTGAGAACACTTGGCAGTTTTGTAGGTTCGGTTAAGGTACTTTATAGGTATGTACATATGTATTCATACTGACCTTGTACTCATCAGCGTAATTGACTACTTGGACAAAAAAATCTCTGTCGTGGTAAGATAGTTCGATGTTGGTTTTGGAATACTTCGAAGTTGTATCGTACCATTTACTACACAATACGAGAAAATTATGTAAAAATAAACTAAAAAATATACATACATGTAATAATATAAAACATCCGTTGTCTCTGTGTATTGAAGAAACAGCAGACTTTACCCATTTTCAACTGTTATTCGCTTTTTTTATTTTTATTGCCTAGGTGGGTGGACGAGCTCACAGCCCACCTGGTGTTAAGTGGTTACTGGAGCCCATAGACATCTACAATGTAAATGCGCAACCCATCTTGAGATATAAGTTCGAAGGTCTCAAGTATAGTTACAACGGCTGCCCTACCCTTCAAACCGAAACGCATTACTGCTTCGCGGCAGAAATAGGCAGGGTGGTGGTACCTACCCGCGCGGACTCACTAGAGGTCCTACCTCCAGTAAAAACAATAGTCTCTCGATTTTGGTGGCCGTCAACAGTCGAATAGGTGCAATATATGAGCGGCTACTAATGTTATTCTTAGAAGCGATACCTAGATTAATAAAACCACATACCACAAACCGATTACCTACCCCAATAAAAGAATACATCATATGAACAAATAAAAAATAGAAATATAAAATTGGTGTATTATTCTAATAGGGATCCGTGATAGTCACGAGTAGCTTTGAGGGACCATTTTAGGAGGGGCTGCTCACCCCTGCATCTCGGGGGGCTATTTTGGCAGCATGTATAAAATACGTTCTATTAAGAATGTTATTTTTCAGATTTGTAGACATACACTCCAGTTTGACAAAAGGTCAAAACACTTTGTATAGTTACATAGTTTTTCTATGAACCAAGTGTTGTAGTTGTATACAAAAACCCTCAATCTATTACTTTTATTTTGTGATGAATACCATAGTTTAGTCTGTTCGGCTATTTAAATATAAATTTAAAGTTAAATACAAGCCGGGTAGGTAGCACCACCCTGCCTATTTCTGCCTTGAAGCAGTAATGCGTTTCGGTTTGAAGGGTGAGGTAGCTGTTGTAACTATACTGAGACCTTAGAACTCTTATCTCAAGGTGGATGGCGGCATTTATGTTATAGATGTCTATGGGCTCCGGTAACCACTTTAACACCAGGTGGTCCGTGAGCTCGTCACCCATCTAAGCAATAAAAAATAGCACGATTCAGTTTTTTCTCAAATATCTTTTATTCTATAAAAGCTACTAATAATAGATCTAGTCATGTATAGCTTGAGTGAACCTTTAACTTGATGTTGTTAACACAGATGAGGGACCAGACAAAACTGGGTGACCGCCCAACTGTGCACTGCCGCTAGTAAGCACTAGCCACGGCACGGGCCTAATACAAACCTTAGTGTTTATGTTAATGTTAAATATTAATTAGTGACGATTAATAAATACGGTAAATATTGAAGTAAGTAAATACCTTGGATTATCAAGCGAGGCCACATTTGAATTGATGAAATGACACATCCCTATTTCAGTCATCGTGTCCTCGACAGGTATTGGCCATTTTGTCACCGTGGATAAAATGGACTCGTCGAACTTCTTAAATAACTTTAAAGAAATACTTGGATATTCCCCAGGATCTATCAGCTAGATATTGTGAAAAAAATTCATTAGTTGTGGTCTGCCCCACCCTTAAAATCAAAACGCACTACTGATTCATGGCAGAAATAGGAACAAGACGTCCTATCACCAGTAATTACGTAAATGGTCCTTAATAGTCACTAAATTTAACATTTTCTTCGGTTTTTTTGGTTCGCAGACATAATTAAAATCACTTTTACGGTTTAATCTCGTGTTTTTTGTTATCATTATATTATTTCGAACTACTACTGTTTAAAATGTAACACGAAAACAGTTTTAATTAAATTACCAAATAATCGAATTTTTCGTGCGACGGATGTTTTTGTTACCTTATAAACATTGTTTTAAAAGTTTCCTTATAAAAAATATCACCAACCGATAAGATTTCCTGGTTCGGAATCTGTAGGAGTTGCAGGGTGTCTAACGACATAGACACAATAGTTCTCAAATACGATTCGACATTGAGGCCAGTTTGATCAAGAGTTTCACTGTAACAAGCAAAATTTACTCGATTGCACTATCTATGATTGGAACTAGAAACAGTGTTATACCGTAATTATTCTAACAAAAGAACCTGGCGTATTTCAGACGAGGTATGAGGTCGATGTGTATGTATTATTGTAACAAGGACTTTCCTTTTTTCAAACCAGAAAGCATGACTAATGAAATTTAACTCTGTAAAAATAGGTAGGCTCGTGATACTTAACAATACTGTTCCTAATACATAATAGTAACTACGTAAACTGATATAATAGATGATAATAAATTCTGCAGGTTTTATTTTTACTGTCTTTATGGTGTTAATATTTTTGTATAATTATTATATATATTTATAAATTTATAATAATTTAATAAAAGACGGGCTTACTTTACGATTGAAGATAAAGCTTCATCTTGTATTTTATTTACAGGGCATAATATTATAGCTGGATAAGAAACGTTCCAATTGAAATAATCCTTTTCCACATTCATTACTATCGGAGCTTTCTACAAGAAAAAAATATTAAATGGGAATTCCGTGTCCATGACTAAGATGCTTCACAATGCAGGAACTTTTCAGTTTAGTCAGAACTGTACATACCTTTGCGGGTTAATTTTACGATAAACGCTGGAGGGTCGCAGAAAAAAATATTTTCAAAAACAAAATACTTCCCGAGAATGCCTCCAATAATAGTAAAAGATAGCTTTAGTTTTAAATGATGTAATGGAAATTGAATTTTACAAGAAAAAAGATAAATTGTATCAAATATTGGTTATATGTTTTTAAAAAGAATTCTATTATCCAAACCATTTATGTATATCCAAAACAATTATCAGATTAAAACATGCGTCGCGGGTCGCATGTAAACAAGCCACCGGCCGCTTCCTGGACAACCCTAGCTTAGATGTTGCTTACCACAAATCTTGAAAATTGCGCAGCAAGAATCATATAACTAATGGCCATTGCAAACACAAAGCTCACTGCCCAAAATAATCTAGAATAAAATAAATTTAAATTTACAACTGTAAAATCAATGAAATGTAAGAGATACATCAAATCGCTTTAAATATTACTGTAACCTGCTCGTACTATATTAGTTTGAAATGTTTATGACAGTTATTAAAGGTAAAACTGGAAAAAATTGTTAAAAATTGTAAAGCCTAAGTTATAGACATAGGAAACCGAAGATGAATATAAAATATTGATGTCACCTTTCAAACCAATGTACATCCGATTTTACGATGTAGGGTAGTCCATGTGTAGTAGAATTTTCCAATTCGCTCTTTAAATAATCTAAAAGCTTTTTAAATTTCAATTTTTTGTAGTTTTTTCTTTTTAAAGCCTTTTTCTCTTTAATTTTTTTCTTCAACATCATACAAGCACGGCTTCAGCTATAACTGCTTTCTGCTAGCTGATTACAAAGCACGGTAATTACCCATTCCCTCGATTTGTTTGCATTGTGTACTGCGGCATTGCGTGAACAATGAGGTCTGTTATTTTCGTGAGTGATATAAAACTGATTTTATAATTTATATTTTAAGTTGAGTTTTTACACATCGATTTTTAAATAGATATTAATCCTCTTTTATATTTGAATCCCGCGGAAAAGTAAAATTTACCAAAATTGAAGTTTCGAACAAAATACCGCCGGACGATTGTTTTAGCTTTTTTCTAATAGAGGGCACACCAAGATGCTGATACACAATCCTTTTTAAGACCCGGATAAAAAACTCACATCTTGTTACAGATACACTGTCCCATGAAAATCTAATGTAAAACATGTCAAACTGAAAAAAAAGTTAAGATTAAAACTTTAAATTATTTCGTTCAGAGATCAAATACATCTATTACTTTGTTTTAGACTATCGTAAAAATATGGTTTAGTCACAACTAGTTTATATCATAATATTCACACAAAATCCACGTCATCACAATGTTTAATTTTATTCATAGACTAGCTGACCCGGCAGACTTCGTAGTGCCTCAATCGATAAATAAAAGACTTAAACTTTTGTATAAAATAAACTTAAAACAAACAAAAGGAATCCGTCCGACGGGGGACACATCAAAGGAAAAACCAAATTGTTATTTTTATTTAATTCCGAGCATTTTCATATTTATCTACCTTTTAAACCTTCTCTGGACTTCCACAAATAATTCAAGACCAAAATTAGCCAAATCGGTCCAGCCGTTCTTGAGTTTTAGCGAGATTAACGAACAGCAATTAACTTTTTATATATATAGATGGTTCACATATATGTATGTATTATAAATGCACAAATTATATGAGTATAGGTATTACCGAATTATATTTATAAGACTAGACCATCTTGAATGGACGTAAATATAATTTTTTTTCGAGAATCAACAATTGCAAATTCAAGAGCATGTTTTGTTTCAGGGGATTTATTAGAAACCTCACTTGTTCGCAATAATTCTGAATTCGAAATTCCCTTCATGTCGGCTTCTATTTGATGTCGACTGTACATATTTAATGTTTTGGGAATGGAATTGCTCGTTATCATAAAAGAATATCTAAATTATGTAAGCGCCATTTATCAATTTACTCTTTGCGGCTGTTTTATTCAACTTATTTTGTTTGGGTACCCGTATCGCAGCCGTGGGGAAATGGAAACTCGTTGTTTCCTATCCATATAATAAACCCTATTGTTTCCTAAGCATTGTATGAATACATATAAAATTTTGTTTGGAAATTCGACGGTTGTTGTTTATATGAATAGAAAATATATCGATATCAAAAATTTTTATACATTATAATAAAATGTATAATTTATGTTTAAAACAATGTTTATACGAAAATAGGTAATAGGTTGGGGGAAAAGTTTCTTCGCATTTTTTAAGAAAATCCACAATTTTTTTTATAGTTTGTTTTGTGGTCGATTCCCTGTTCTTCAGCTACGTCGTAACTACTGATATGCCGATCTTGTTCCACTTTTTAAAAAATGGCATCCATTTTATCCGTAATAGAGCGACTAGAGCGACGTGCATCTTTGACATCAAAATTTCCGGATTGAAAACGCTTAAACATTTGTGCTACTCTCACAGACACTGCACTAGGTCCATTAAAATTTGGCAATTTTTTTTCGCCTTTTTGTAGTAAAACTTTAAAATGTATCGAATTTCTTCATTAGATTCATTCATCTTGACAGTACGAAAAATAAATAAAAATCACACATTTTCCTAATTTGAATTTGGAATTATCTTCTTTAAAATTTAAACTTTTAATGATACCAAAACCAGCCAGATACAAATAGTATAGCTACAGAGATTTTATTACAAGTTCATACATACTATAATGCGAAAAGACTTTTTCCCCAACCTATTAGTAATCTACCTTTTAGAAGTTTTGCTTTTATCTCAACGTTCGTCACATATTGACTATGTTACGCATTTGCACGCTGTTTGATTTAGGGTCGAAATCCGCATACCTACTTGGTGAAAGACGTTTGGCATTCTCGCATATTATGTTTCCAGTACCTATAAGATAGCACAAGATCCTTGGTTGAGTTCTTCAATGTGGAAAATTATTCATCGAATACATTTTGTGTATGAAACTTCTATGTATTTAGCTTTTTCCGTATAATTCTCGAATAGTTTATAAATTTTTACGATTTCAATTTTAAAATAGACTGGCGAATGATTTATGGCGGCGCCGGACTGTTCGTTCATTGTGAAACCCCAGAGACTCGTTGCAAGAGCAAACGTGGCAAACGCTAACTTTATCAGAACCTCCGTGTTGTATCAAGAATGCCCTAATCGGCCATTTGCCAGCGTTAAGCCCCTATTTATTATCGTAACTAGTGAAGCACTATCGCTTTCAGGCCGACACCGAGACCGTTTCTTGTTTCTTATTCGTCCATTTATTTGTCTCTATACCCTCTAACTAATTCAACGAAACGCGAAAGCCGCCAAGATAACTGCTTTGTTTCGATTGTTGATGAAATTGCTATCGATTGAAAACGAAAGACTTACGCAATGCAGTTGTACCAGTGTCTGTGTAAATTTATAATTCAGTGTGCTTAGTGCGAGTTCTTTTAACGTCCTCAATAGCGTAAAAGTTAGCTCATATTTGTATGGAATGGGGTCGTTTGCGTACGTTTGCCGTTAGGGGCGCTGTTCCAACTGCATACAAAACTGGGTTAACTTTTACGCTATCGAGAACGTTAAAAAACTCGCACTAAGCACACAGGTGGTTTTCTACACAATACACGATTTTGTGTTTTGTTTTTTTTCTTGTAATACAAAAACAGGATAATACTTTTTAGGAATTTAAAATGATGTCTGTTCCATTAATTTTAAAGTTGTTGGTTACGAGGCGTCTGTCCAATGGTGGTAGATCATTACTCTTTGTCGAAGTTCCTCGCTCGTTTACCGCGATCCCGCTGGCTCAATCTCCGGTCCCCGCGCCCCACTTGTAGATAGCTGCACCGAGAAACCTATTTAAAGTTAAATAAGAAATGTGAATGGCTTTCTTCATTTTATATCATATCAATTTTTTTTTATTTTGATAATGAAAAAAGAAGAATGGAAATTAAACATTTCCCGATCTTCATTTAATAGTTTTCTTTAAAAATAGTAGGTATTTAAAAATAGCTTTTTTTTAATGGAAATTCTAAAAATGTAGACGTTCTTTTTGTTAGACAACTAATAAAATGAACGTTGGTCTCGTCATATAACATGTATCGGTGGCTATTTTGTTGTTCTTTATATTATTAATATCGCAACGTATCTTTGCGAAATAAATGTGATTAAAAGCATCATTAAACCTACGGCATTTTGCAAAACAATTATCGCACGAACCACAAAATAACTGTATCAATTACCGTCACCTTCGTAGCTGGGAATCGAATTTGAAACAATTCATTAAAATTTGTTGAACTGAAACAAATGAATTGCATGCATTAAAATGCATTGAGAAGACACAAATACATATGTTAATTTTACACTCATGACTACTCATAAGTAATTTGTTATACATATACTTATAAAGAACTTTTCATCGAAAAAAATAGTACGAAACCGTTTCCACTATTTAAACCTATTGTTGAATTACTGAATAGTTTCCCAGCCCCATCTTGGTTTTAGTATTTTCACCCGGAGTGCTATTGAAACCTACGAAACAATTTAGACCAGTGAAACACAAGGTAAATTCATTTTCATTTTAAATTAGGTGTCTGTTAAGTGTTAATACAAGTAAAGGGGCTTTTATGTAATAGTATGTCTGATTATTAGGGACCACAGGGATAATAATGTAAAGAGAATTATTGTGCATATTATGACAACAATGAAAATTTTAAACTATTGTATGATTGTAGATCTAAATAAATTTTAAAACAGTAGCGTGGTTCTTCGAGAAAAAAAAATCGTCAATGATATTGTGTTAACTATTCTAAATCTGCTAACTTTATTACTTCGCCTAAGATTTAACTAGCGAATGAATTGAAACGAAAGTATCTGTTAAGTCGTAATAAAGTTCAATCGCATCAACATTGAAAGAGCCGTCGTACCTTTAAACAAGTTTTCGTAGTTTATATCTTAATATTTACTTTAGGTGTAATTAATGCTTTTCGGCCTGTGGTAGGACCTCTTGAGAGTCCGCGCGGGTAGGTACCACCTCCCTGCTTATTTCTGCCGTGAAGCAGTAATGCGTTTCGGTTTGAAGGGTGGGGCAGCCGTTGTAACTATACCTGAGACCTTACAACTTATGTCTCAAGGTAGGTGGCGCATTTACGCTGTAGATGTCTATGGGCTCCAGTAGCCCCTTAACACCAGGTGGGCTGTGAGCTCGTCCACTCATCTAAGCCATAAAAAAAAAACATAAATAATAAATTTATAAACATAGAATATTATATTTTCTAAGATAGGGTTTTGAATCGCAATTTTTTTGTCTTTTTTTTTATATCACATCCAGTATATCATTAATAACAAGGGTTTATCTATGTACTGATTTTACTCATATTCGCACGTAACATGAATGTCACATTTTTTACTATCAGGTTTCAATTTGAGGAGAGAAAATGGATTTTAAGGCTTTGCTATTTCCAAAAATGATGTAGTTTAATTACAACTGAAAAGTAGAGCATTTATGTGATAGATTTCTTAGTATAGTTTCATAGATTAGCTTTAAACGATAATTAGCTCATTTAATTGATTCCCACGGGAATCTCCGGGCGACTTGAATGAAATTATATAACGCTCCAAATTTTGGATTACAGTGTGAATAATTAGATTTTGTATAATGTGTTATTGGCGTAGATGGATAGACACACTCAAGGTCCACCCGGTGTTAAGTGTTTTTCGGAGTAAATAGACAAAGCAGACTTGGATACCGGTGGT